TAAACGGGTCATGGGTACTAACCGACACATCTTTGAGAATCGATCGATGACCACGAGAATAACAGTATGGCCCTCTGATTCTGGTAGGTCGGTAACAAAGTCCATCGCAATGTGCGACCAGGGTCGTTGAGGGGTTGGCAATGGCATCAGCTTACCCTCCGGTAGTGCTCGAGGCGTCTTGGACTGAGCACAAACTGGGCAGGATAATACGTAGTCTCGTAAGTCATCTGTGAGGGAATCCCACCAGTATTTTCGACTGATGAGTCGAGTAGTTCGAGTGATTCCGGGATGACCAGATCCTAGCGACGTGTGGCACCATTCCATCAGTTGAGGTCGAAGCGGAGCTGGTACAAACACCTTCGACACCGGGGTTTCTGGAGGGGCTGGTTCCGCTTGTAGGCTCTCCTGAATTGTGTCATCGATAGCCCACCTCACAGGGCCAGCACGGCAACTCATGGGGAGGATAGGTTCTGGTTCAACCGGTCTGTCAGCGCGCTCGAACCGTCGGGAAAGCGCGTCCGCCTTACAATTCTTGGACCCGGGAATATAAGAGACAGTGAATTGAAAACGGTTGAAGAACAAAGACCACCTTGCCTGTCGGGAGTTCAGTCGTTTAGCACTGTGAAGATACTCCAGATTGCGGTGGTCCGTGAGCACTTGGAACGGATGAGCTGCTCCCTCCAGCCAATGTCTCCACTCCTCCAGTGCTAACTTCACCGCCAGCAATTCACGATTTCCCACGTCGTAGTTCTGCTCGGCCGGATTCAGCTTCTTAGAAAAAAAAGCACAGGGTCGTGATTTGGGCGGCTCACCTTGGCGCTGGGATAGCACGGCTCCAACTCCAACCTCCGAGGCGTCCACCTCCACGATGAACGGCAAGGTAGGATCCGGCTGACACAAAATGGGAACGGTGGTAAATCGTTGTTTCAATGTCTCAAAAGCCCGCACTGCCCCCTCCGTCCATTTCAGACCACGCCCCTTGTGGCTGGTCATCGCCGACAGGGGAGCTGCGGTGGTGCTGAAATTACGCACGAACCGTCTATAGTAATTGGCAAACCCCAAGAATCTCTGAAGCTCTTTCACCGTCTGGGGTTGAGGCCAGTCTCGTACAGCTTGTACCTTGGATTCATCCAGTCTTACCCCGTCGGGAGTGAGTATGGCCCCAAGGAAGGAAATCGTCGTGACATGAAATTCACTCTTCTCGGCCTTCACGAACAGAGAGTGTTGGCGGAGTCGGTCCAGAACCTGTCGTACATGGGACACATGTTCACTCAGAGAGTTAGAGTAGATTAGGATGTCATCAATGTACACTATGACGAAACGATCAATCAAGTCCCTAAAAATGTCATTCATGAACGCCTGGAACACAGAGGGCGCGTTAGTAAGTCCATAGGGCATAACACAATATTCATAATGTCCTCGATGGGTGATGAAGGCGGTCTTCCATTCATCCCCCTCTCTAATGCGCACCAGATTGTACGCACTCCTGAGGTCCAGTTTACTGTAGATGGAGGCTTGCCCCACCTGCTCGAGGGCCGCTGGAATCAAAGGAAGGGGGTAACGATTTTTTATGGTGATATCGTTCAAACCTCGATAGTCTATGCAAGGACGAAGTCCGCCATCCTTTTTCTTAACAAAGAAAAAACTGGATGCGGCGGGAGACGTAGATGGGCGAATGGCCCCTTGCTGAAGTGCCTCATCAATATACTTGCTCATTGATTCCCGTTCCGGCTGAGACAAAGGGTAGATTCGTCCGCGAGGAGGGGTAGCCCCGGATAGCAGATCAATGGCACAATCCCAGGCCCGATGCGGTGGTAACACGGTAGCCCTCTCCTTGGAGAACACCTGCGCGTAATCCTGGTACTCTGTAGGAACAACAGTAGACACCGCACCCTTCGCATCCTCCACAGTAGACGTTTTGCAAGGTAAAATGAGGCACTCAGCCCTACATACCTCACTCCAAGCCGTGATATCGCCAGATTTCCAGGAGATGACCGGATCAGGGGTAACGAGCCAGGGGTGGCCGAGGACTAGCGGCTCCCGTGGAGCGGAGATGACGAACAGAATGATGTTCTCATGGTGCAGGGAGCCCACTTGTAACTTGATTTCCCCGGTACGGTGCGTAATGAACCCAGTGCCCATGGGCTCACCGTCTAGCGCGTTGACTCGCAGGGGAGGTTGAATTGGGATAAGTTGAACTCCCAACTCCTCAGCAAGACCCATATCCAGAAAGCTGGCAGCCGCTCCGGAATCAATAAGTCCTTCCAACCTGCGTACTTTCTCTCCGACAGATAAGGTAACAGGCACATACATTTGTTTCGATGTAATGTTCAACACTGGAGTCTCACTCACCGGTTTGGCAGTTCCGAGGCGATATCCTGGGGTACGGTTAGGTCGTACCGGACATTGACGAACGAAATGACCCGCCTGACCACAATACAGGCATAGTCCGTCTTGCCGACGTTGTTGTCTCACCGAACCTTGTAGAGGTGACCGTCCCAGTTGCATAGGTTCCTCCTCAGATTCTCTCCTCCGCTCTGTCGATTGCATAGGACCAGTGATCGAGGGCTCCCGGACTGTAGATGCCTTGTGTTGCACTATAAGATTATCAATAGAGATGGCTATTTTGATAAACTCATGTAGCGCAGTGATATCTCCTCGACAAGCCAACTCAGTCTGTACGTCTTTGCGCAGCCCTCTTCGGAAAACTGTGAGCAAAGCCGTTTCGCTCCATCCGCTACCGGCTGCTATAGTACGGAACTCTAAAGCGTAGTCGGCTACTGTGCGACGGCCCTGCTGAAGTTCGCATAGTTGGTCTCCCACATTACGCCCAGATACTGGGTGGTCGAACACCTCTTGAAACAGTCTCTTGAACTGAACTTCCGCATTCAACTCGGGGACCTCAGCTGCCCAAAGCGCAGTAGCCCAATCCAGTGCTCTTCCCGTTAGCAGAGAAATCATGAAATCCACCCTGCTACGGTCATCGGAAAACATAGTACGATTATACGACATATACAGGGAAATCTGGAGTAGAAACCCCTGACATTTGCCAGGTTCCCCGTCGTACCTTGTCGGTATAGAAATCGGAGGTGCATGACGAGGACTGACCGTACTCGGGGTGGTGCCTTCCGCTGCACCAGCGTTGAGTAGCTGTAGGAGTTCATCCATGCGTTTCTCCTGTATCTCCCATCGCCTCTGTAATTCCGCTGGATCCATGGTAAAGGCGAGGTATTCTGTAATGAATACTCGGACAGAGTGGTAAGATCCAATCGCAGAATAGCGATGCTTTATTAGAGTACAGACAAGGGAATAGCTTAATCGTGGTCGGGCGGGCTGTGGTCAAAACCGGGCCAGGCATAGACAGGCAGAGGTCCAAAGGAGCGGGCTTAGTCGTAGTCGAGGTCACAGACACAGGATCAGAGAACGGTAATCACTGGGGCAGACAAGCAGAGGATTAAGCAATACGGGGAGTCAAACAACAAGGCACAGGTCGGATACACGGGTAATCAAAACAACAAACTCTCTCTCTCTCTCTCTCTCTCTCTCTCTCTCTCTCTCTCTCTCTCTCTCTCTCTCTCTCTCTCTCTCTCGGAACAAAACGCTTAGCAAGTCACAAAGGAACAATACCTCGCACCGACTGAACCTCTGAGCACACCTTATATCCTACCCTAATTACGGACAGGTGTGCTCAGAACTCAGGTGAACCAGATCGAGTCTGATGACTCCCCCTCTCTGTAGATCGGGGAAGTGTCAGACTCTGTCTAGACCCAGCCAACCCCCGATCCCTTACAGATGAAACTTCCAAAGTTCTTGAAATGTTCCGTATTGACTGACCTTCATGTCTTAAAGTAATGATGGACTGTCGTTTCTCTTTGCTAATTTGAGCTGTTCTTGCCATAATATGGACTTGGTGTTTTACCAAATAGGGCTATCTTCTGTATACCCCCCCTACCTTGTCACAACACAACTGATTGGCTCAAACGCATTAAGAAGGAAAGAAAATCCACAAATTAACTTTTAAGAAGGCACACCTGTTAATTGAAATGCATTCCAGGTGACTACCTCATGAAGCTGGTTGAGAGAATGCCAAGAGTGTGCAAAGCTGTCATCAAGGCAAAGGGTGGCTATTTGAATAATCTCAAATATAAAATATATTTCGATTTGTTTAACACTTTTTTGGTTACTACATGATTCCATATGTGTTATTTCATAGTTTTGACGTCTTTACTATTATTCTACAATATAAAAAATAGTACAATATAGCTCAGTATTGTATTATGTATTTTATTGTATTTTTTGCTAATATTTATCAAGGGATCCAATAATTATGGATCTCACTCTATGTATGATGTCATCCAATCTTAGGTCCTGCATTACCTCATGCCTCCAATATATTGCCTGGGACTGGAAGACAATCAGTTGAACGTGGTGAGCTTTCAACCATTTTGACATGCTTGTTATAACCACCCAAGAACCACACCTAAAGATCCAATTGACCAAAGAGTATTCCCCCTTTTTGGTTCCAAATTTACAACTGCATGTATAAATTTCAATACTCCTTCCAGATGATGTTAAATGCAACACAGCAATAGGTGCTATGCTAATACAATGTGTAACTGTAGCTAGGCCTACTGTAGATGTACGATCTTAATTTGATCACCCTGTTGAAGGAGAACTTTCCTGAAATGCAGGAAATGTAAAACTTGTAGTGTATTTGAGGTTTGAAAAGGCTTCTGAAGTTTGTTATTTTCACTTTAAAATGTCAGACTTGATTTTCCCTTACAAAAAATGTATCAACCCTTACACAAATGTCCATTAATTATAATCCACATAATAATTAACCTTTCCTGTTGCTGCAGGATTATTTTCCTGTGGTATCAAACTTGCTCAAATTAAGATCCTACATCTGTATAATTCTCATAAGCCTATGATTTAACAGATCAGGTTCTGTGTCTTGACAATAAAGGTACTGTAGGGTGGTATTTTCTGTCTTAACACAGTGTTGTAATTTTGATATAGCATCAGATGAGGAATCGGTTGGAAAGATCACATACTATACCAATAACGATCTTGGAAAAGGTGCCGATGGAATTGTGTTCAGGTAAACCAGCTTAAACATTATTGTGTAAATGTGTTTGTAACCCTAAACCCCTCTTTGCTCTTTGTAGCAAAAATTTCCTTATGATCCCCCCCGAAAAAATTAAATAAAAAAAGTCCTTATGATCGCTTCATTGACTAGATGTTTATCTTTCTCTACCGCTGTCCTCTAGGGGTTTCTTCCTTTGTGATGATGCCAACAAGCGTCCTGCGGCAGTGAAGAGAATTGAACTAGCAAAACAAAGCAATGCTGATCAAGAGGTCGCTTTGCTTCTTAAATTGGACTACAATCCCCATGTCGTCCGCTACTTCTGCACTGAAAAGGACAGGCAATTCCTATACATTGCCATCGAGCAGTGTGCCGCCTCTTTAGATAAGGTCTAATTGAATTACTCACTATTTTATTCTCAGATTTATCCAAACTTAATTATATAAGTCTCACATCATGATTATCTATGTTAGAATATATACTGAACAAAAATATAAACGCAACATGAACAATTTCAAAGATTTTACTGAGTTACAGTTCTTAGAAGAAAATCAGTCACTTGCAATAAATAAATTAGGCTCTAATCTATGGATTTCACATGACTGGGAATACAGATATGCATCAGTTGGTCACAGATACCTTAAAAAAGGTAGGTGCATGGATCAGAAAACCAGTCAGTGTCTGGTGTGACCACCATTTGCCTCATTCATTTGCATAGAATTGATCAGGCTGTTGATTGTGGCCTGTGGAATGTTGTCCCACTCCTCTTTAATGGCTGTGCGAAGTTTCTGGATATTGGCGGGAACTGGAACACGCTGTTGTACGCGCCGATCCAGAGCATCCCAAACATGCTCAATGGGTGGCATGTCTGTTGAGTATAAAGGTCATGGAAGAACTGTAACATTTTCAGCTTCCAGGAATTGTGTACAGATCTTTGAGACTGGGGGCCATGCATTATCATGCTGAAACAAGAGGTGATGGCGGCGGATGAATGGCGCGACAATGGGCCTCAGGATCTTGTCACGGTATTTCTGTGCATTCAAATTGCCATAGATGAAATGCAATTGTGTTCGTTGTCCGTAGCTTATGCCTGCCCATACCATAACTGACCCCCACCATGGGGCACTCTGCTCACAACGTTGACATCAGCAAACCGCTTCGGTTGTCAGGCCAGTTGGACGTAGTGCAAAATTCTCTGAAACAATGTTGGAGGTGGCTTATGGTAGAGAAATGAACATTACATTCTCTGGCAACAGCTCTGGTGGACATTCCTGCAGTCAGCATGTCAATTGCACGCTCCCTCAAAACTTGAGACATCTGTGGCATTGTGTTGTGTAACAAAACTGCACATTTTAGAGTGGCCTTTTATTGTCCCCAGCACAAGGTGCACCTGTGTAATGATCATGCTGTTTAATCAGCTTCTTGCCACACCTGTCAGGTGGATGGATTATCTTGGCAGAGGAGAAATGCTCACTAATGGATGTAAACAAATTTGTGCACAACATTTTAGAGAAATAAGCTTTTTGTTTATATGGAAAATGTCTGGGATCTTTTATTTCAGCTCATGAAACATCAGCGCACTAATACTTGTGTGTCTCTTCCAGTGTTTTACTAAAGAAAATCCTTTTGACCTTCACGGACTGAAACCTGTGGAGCTGCTGGAGCAGACCATGATAGGACTGAAACACCTGCACTCTCACAACATAGGTTATAATGATATGCTGTATACTGTAATAATAATAAATAATATGCCATTTAGCAGACGCTTTTATCCAAAGCGATTTACAGTCATGTGCGCATACATGTTTACGTATGGGTGGTCCCGGGGATCGAACCCACTACCCTGGCGTTACAAGCGCCATGCTCTACCAATTGAGCTACAGAGGACCACTACTGTAGATAATCCTAGTGAAGTTACGGTATTTATGACTTTCAGATCTTCCCTCAACTCCAGTAGACAGATTCATCCTGATCTTTTCTCCCCAGTCCACCGTGATGTGAAGCCCCACAACATCCTGTTGAAAAAAGACTCTGTCTCGTTCACGGTCAAGATCTCAGACTTTGGGATGAGTAAGCAGTTGGCGGACGACAGACAAAGCTACAGCATGAGGTCGGGCGCCCTTGGCACCATGGGCTGGAACGCCCCAGAGGTCCTGGATGAGAGCAGGAAAGGAAACCCTGTGAGTACAATTTTATGAATGCCGATAGATAATTTGTTTGTTCTGTCTGTAAAATGAATTATGTGAGAAATGGCAGTGGAAACGTCTTTATGCGCAAATATTGATATAATAACCATCATAATGAATTAAACTTGGAGTCACGCGATGATATGTTGTGTGGTCCTCCCACTATGACTTCGGAAACCATGCCGTTTACTAGGCTACAGATGAAATAAGTTATAATGAACTTCACAGGGTGGTGAAAGTGCATGATGATGAGCTTGATGTGTTAGGCCTACTGCTGCTAGGTAGCTCTCTCTCTGCTCTCCCCCTCCCCTCTGTCTGTCCTTGATTGCAGGAGTGAAGTCTGGTGTGCGGGAGTCAGGGTTCCAGCTGCAGCTCATTCACCATAATCACCTCAGCCTTTAAGACCCGGTCAAACTTGCCACTCATCGTCAGATCATAGTCAAGACGACCATGTTAGTCTCGCTGTCGACTCAACCTGTTTGTTTTCGCGCTTTGTGTTTTTGGCCTGTTCTATTTACTTTTCTCCTGTGCCACAGATTATTGGAACCTGACTCCTGCCTCCGCTTCACTCCTGCCACCACCATCCTGCTTTCCACTACCGGACCTCCCTTTTGGACTCACCACGGACACTACGACATTACGGTACCACACCTCCCCTTACCTGGATCTGTTACCCTCCCTGTAACCTGGACTTGCTCTTCCCCTATTATTGGAAACCTGGACTAATTGAACATTGTAAATAAACCTGTTAAACCTTCTCTGGCTTGGTGTAGTTGTCTGCATTTGGGTTCAAATCCAGTTAAATCATGACAGTATGACCTGACCAACATGAACCCAGCAGACAGTAGCTCGGATACCACCCCAGAGTGCACTCAAATTCAGACTGCCATAGCCAATCAGGGCATTTTACTTGGCCAACATGATACCCTGTTTAAGACTATTGCTGAGAACAGTCAGGTGCTGCTTAATCAGGTTCAATTACTCACCAATCAAGTGTCTGCCCTTACTACCCAAGTTAATAATGCACCCCTCGGGCATGGCATACAAACTGCTCCTTCTCCTGCTCCACCTGTTTTTCCTACCCCTTCAGCCCAGATCAGTGAGCCTTTTGTTCCTGCTCCAGAGCGCTATGACGGGAACATGGGAACCTGTGGCGATTTTTTTGACTCAATGCTCGTTAGTGTTTGAACAACAGCCCCTCACCTACGCCTCAAAGAGCCCGTATTGCCTACCTTATCAACTCTACTAGCGGTTCCACTCGTGCCTGGGGATCCGCGGTCTGGGAGAGTCAGTCGGACATTTGCAACGCTTACGTTGCCTTCACCACTGAGATGAGGAAGGTTTTTGACCACCCCGTACGGGGCAAGGAGGCTGCGAAACGGTTGTTTTCTCTTCGGCAGGGGGCTCGCAGTGTGGCGGAGATGGCAGTGGAGTTTCGGACTTTAGCGGCAGTGAGTGGTTGGAATGACGAGGCATTACAAGGAGTGTTCATCAATGCTTTGTCTGAGACTTTAAAAGATGAATTGGTGTCATATGATGAATCGCCTACGCTGGATAATCTTATTTCACTCACCATCAGGTTGGATAATCGGGTTCGGGAGCGCCGCCGGGAGAGGAGTGTTAGTTCCAAGCAACCTGTCTGTCGTCAACAAACTCCTCCCCGCATCTTCCCTACGGAGAAAGCCGTGTCTTCCCGAGTCGATACGAGGAGCACTGAACCCGACGCCATGGAGGTGGGTCGTGCACGGTTGTCCTCAGAGGAGCGTGCACGTCGTATTCAGGCTCGGGTCTGCCTGTATTGTGGAGAAGCTGGTCATTTCGTTCCTTCCTGCCCAGTTCGTCCGGGAAAAGGGCCGGCTCATCATTATTGGGAGAAGTTTTGGTGAGCCGAGCAGCGGATTCTTCCTCTTCTCCCCGCATTCTGCTCCAGGCATCCCTCCAGTGGCAGTCCCAGAATTTCTCTGTTAGTGCGCTGGTTGACTCTGGTGCCGATGAAAGCTTTTTGGATAGAGAGTGGGCTCAACAAATGGATTTGGAGACTGTTCCTATGGACTGTCCGCTGCAGGCTAAGGGTCTAAATGGACAATTGTTGACCCGTATTACTCATCAGACTGTTCCTGTTTGTCTCAGAGTGTCGGGTAATCATCAGGAGAACATTCAATTCCATATAATCGACTGCCCACAGACCCCCCTGGTCCTTGGTATCCCCTGGCTCAAAAGACACAATCCACACATTGATTGGGTGACAGGTAGAATTGTTTCATGGAGCACATTTTGTCATGTGAATTGTTTGTGTTCTGCTCAGACCCCTGCCAGCACTGTGCCTCAACCTCCACTGGAGTCCATGGATCTTTCTGCTGTCCCTGACGTGTATCATGACCTGGCATCCGTTTTCTGCTAACACAGAGCTACTTCTCTTCCTTCTCACCGGCCTTACGACTGCGTCATTGACCTCCAGCCAGGAGCCCCGCTCCCCAGCAGTCGCCTGTACAATCTCTCCCGCCCGGAGACGGAGGCTATGGAGAACTACATTCGGGACTCCTTGGCGGCAGGTATTATTCGTCCTTCCTCGTCACCTGTAGGAGCGGGATTCTTTTTTGTTGCTAAGAAGGATAAAACCCTCAGACCCTGTATTGATTTCCGTGGACTTAACAACATCACCATTAAGAACAAATATTCTCTGCCATTAATTAATTCAGCTTTTCCCCTCCTTCATGGTGCAACTATCTTTACCAAACTGGATCTACGAAATGCGTATCACCTGGTGCGCATTCATAAAGGTGATGAATGGAAGACTGCCTTCAACACACCCTTGGGACATTTTGAGTATCTAGTTATGCCTTTTGGGTTGTCCAATGCCCCTGCTGTTTTTCAGGCACTAGTCAATGATGTCCTTTGGGACATGTTGAATCAGTTTGTTTTTGTCTATCTGGATGATATCTTGATTTTCTCAGAGTCCTCCCAGGAACATGAACTGCATGTGCGCCAGGTGTTGCAAAGGTTGTTGGAGAACAAACTGTTTGTGAAGATGAAGAAATGTGAATTTCATGTGTCTGAGACCTCTTTTTTGGGTTACATCATAGCTCCGGGGGAGTTGCGGATGGACCCAGCTAAGATCTCTGCTGTCACGGACTGGCCAGCCCCCTCCACCCGCAAACTACTTCAACGATTCCTGGGGTTTGCGAACTTCTACAGGAGGTTCATCAAGGACTACAGCCGCATTGCGGCGCCACTCACCGCTCTCACCTCCATCTCACGACCGTTCGCTTGGAATGAAGGGGCCGAATCAGCGTTCGAAAAACTGAAACATCGCTTCGCCTCGGCTCCCATTCTGATGCAGCCGGACCCCGACCGCCAGTTTGTCGTGGAGGTGGATGCATCCGACACTGGGGTAGGTGTGGTGTTGTCACAACGTTCTCCTGAAGATAACAAACTGCATCCCTGTGCTTTTCTTTCAAGGAAACTTTCTCAGGCAGAGAGGAATTATGATGTTGGCAATCGTGAACTGCTCGCCGTTAAGCTGGCTCTCGAGGAGTGGCGACATTGGTTGGAGGGGGCGGCACAACCCTTCATCGTTTGGACGGATCATAAGAATCTGGCTTACATCCAGTCAGCGAAGCAGCTCAACCCCCGTCAAGCCAGGTGGGCACTTTTTTTTTGGGAGATTCAATTTTTCTCTGTCTTACCGTCCTGGGTCACGCAACGTCAAGCCTGACGCCCTGTCTCGTGTTCATTCGGCTGTTGATACTGGTAGTAACCCTGAACCCATCTTGCCTCCTACCTGCAGTATTGCGGCCATCACATGTGACATCGAAGGGATTGTTAGACCGGCTCAACATCATCAAGCTGACCCTGGGAGGGGTCCTCCTAACCGGTTGTTTGTCCCTGAGTCTGCTTGCTCCCAGGTACTTCAGTGGGCTCACTCGTCTCCCCTTACCTTTCACCCTGGAGTTTCGCGGACCCTTGACTTTGTGCGACGGAAGTTCTGGTGGCCCACGATGGAGGCGGACACTCGAGCCTTCATTGCTGCTTGTACGGTATGTGCACGAAGTAAGAACTCCACCCAGGCCAGCGCTGGTCATCTACGACCTCTACCTATACCCAGCCGGCCCTGGTCGCACATTGCTATGGATTTTGTCACTGGACTTCCCACCTCGTCTGGAAAGACTGTCATTCTTACTGTGATTGATCGTTTTTCTAAGTTCGCTAATTTTTTGGCCCTACCTAAACTGCCCACTGCCAGAGAGACGGCTGATATTTTGGTTGAACATGTGTTCCGCTCTCATGGTCTACCCACGGATATTGTCTCTGACAGGGGTCCCCAGTTTGTCTCCCAGGTATGGAAAGCTTTCTGTAAAGCTTTGGGCATCGCATCCAGCCTGTCCTCTGGATATCACCCCCAGACCAACGGGCAAGCCGAGAGAGCGAACCAGGAGATGGAGACCGCTCTCCGCTGTGTCACAGGGTCTAACCCTGGGTCATGGAGCTCCATGCTCCCCTGGGTGGAATATGCTCATAACACCTTGACTAACGCTTCCTCTGGTTTGTCTCCCTTTCTGTGTGCTCTGGGTTATCAACCTCCCCTGTTCCCTTCTCAAGAGAGGGAACTGGCGGTACCCTCGGTGCAGTCCCACATGCGCCGCTGCTTCAAGGTCTGGAGGAAGGCCAGGGTAGCTCTGTCCCGAGCTTCGGCATACATGCAGAGGCAACCCAACCGTCACCGGTCCCAGGCTCCCGGTTACTCTCCTGGTCAAGAGGTATGGCTTAAGTCACGTGACCTTCCATTGAAAGTGGAGTCTAAGAAGATGGCGCCTCGTTTTATAGGACCGTTCAAGATACTGTCTATTGTTAACCCCTGCGCGGTTAAGCTACAGCTTCCTGCCTCCCTACGGGTTCATTCCACCTTTCATGTTTCCCAGATTAAGCCTGTGTCGGTTAGCCCTCTGTGCCCGCCCTCTCGTCCCCCTCCTCCGCCCAGGATCGTGGGTGGGGGTCCGGTCTACACTGTCCGGCGACTTCTGGATGTTCGCCGTCGTGGTTTCCAGTACCTGGTGGATTGGGAGGGTTATGGTCCTGAGGAACGTTCCTGGGTGCCCAGGAGCTTCATTGTGGATCCTGCTCTGGTCCGTGAGTTTCATAGGTTACATCCTGATAAACCCTGTCGGCCGCCAGGTGGCGTCCGTAGAGGGGGGGGGGGGGGGGGGGTACTATTAGGCCTACTGCTGCTAGGTAGCTCTCTCTCTCTGCTCTCCCCCTCCCCTCTGTCTGTCCTTGATTGCAGGAGTGAAGTCTGGTGTGCGGGAGTCAGGGTTCCAGCTGCAGCTCATTCACCATAATCACCTCAGCCTTTAAGACCCGGTCAAACTTGCCACTCATCGTCAGATCATAGTCAAGACGACCATGTTAGTCTCGCTGTCGACTCAACCTGTTTGTTTTCGCTCTTTGTGTTTTTGGCCTGTTCTATTTACTTTTCTCCTGTGCCACAGATTATTGGAATCTGACTCCTGCCTCTGCTTCACTCCTGCCACCACCATCCTGCTTTCCACTACCGGACCTCCCTTTTGGACTCACCACGGACATTACGGTACCACACCTGCCCTGACCTGGATCTGTTACCCTCCCTGTAACCTGGACTTGCTCTTCCCCTATTATTGGAAACCTGGACTAATTGAACATTGTAAATAAACCTGTTAAACCTTCTCTGGCTTGGTGTAGTTGTCTGCATTTGGGTTCAAATCCAGTTAAATCATGACATGATGGTCCTTTCCAATAAACATTGAGGGTCTTATTCTGGTTTTGGGGTCTAAAAATGTCTGACAACTGTGTGAACTATTCTGTTAGGTTGCCTGTAGATTGGAACTAGTAACGATGGTGGTACTGTACTGAAACAACTATTATTAAAGACACTCCTCTTCCTCTACAGACCAGTGCTGTGGACATCTTCTCTGCTAGCTGTGTGTTTTACTATGTGTTGACAGGAGGCAAACATCCCTTTTGGGAACCCAATCGTAGGGCTGGTAATATTGAGGATGGCAAATACAACCTCGACGGATTACAGAAAGACAAACATGGTAAAGCTATTGTACAATTGACAGGTTGTTTCTGAAATGATCATTAGAGTACTACTTAATTTAAAGGCAGAGAGTAATTTTTTTGCAGTGGCATCATGTAACTTTTGATGGTTGTGGGTTTTGAAATTAACAAAATATAGACCTATCCCATCTTTACTCATGTTGAACATGTTTGCAGTCCACATTGTTCCAATTAATTGCATGGCTTCAATATGAAAATACACTACATGACCAAAAGGATGTGGACACCTGCTCATCGAACATCTCATTCCAAAACCATGGGCATTAATATGGAGTTGGTCCCCCCTTTACTGCTATAACAGCCTCCACTTTTCGGGGAAAGCTTTCCACTAGATTATGAAACTTTGCTGCGGGGACTTGCTTCCATTCAGTCACAAGAGCATTAGTGAGGTCGGGCATTGATGTTGGGCGATTAGGCCTGGCTCGCAGTCTGCGTTCCTATTCATCCCAAAGGTGTTCGATGGGGTTGAGGTCAGGGCTCTGTGCAGGCCAGTCAAGTTCTTCCACACTGATCTCGACAAACCATTTCTGTAAGGACCTTGCTTTGTGCACGAGGGCATTGTCATGCTGAAACAGGAAAGGGCCTTCCCCAAACTTGTGCCACAAAGCGTTCTCCTGGCATCCGCCAAACCCAGATATGTCCGTTGGACTGCCAGATGGTGAAGCGTGATTCATCACTCCAGAGAACGCGTTTCCACTGCTCCAGAGTCCAATGGCCGGCAAGCATTACACCACTCCAGCCGACGCTTGGCATTGCGCATGGTGATCTTAGGCTTGTGTGCGGCTGCCCGGCCATGGAAACCCATTTCATGAAGCTCCTGATGAACAGTTATTGTGCTGTGTAAATAAAATTATGTCTGAGCCATGGACATGCCAAACATTGTCAATAAGTAATATTACATTCACTATTGATAAGGCCTAAAAAGACAGTGAATAACTTGAAGAAAATTTGAATCAAAACTTAACAAGGACTTGTTTTAAATAGGTAATGTCTACAGTTACAGGCACCATAATTGCTCCCTCTGGGCATATAATATTAAGGCAATGTAGATTATGGACGGTTTTACGCACATCCAAACTTTTCACAGGAGCTGGATGTAATCAGAAAGGAGGATTGTCCACTCACCGTTATACTGCTCCACAATTTAATGTTTTATAAACATAATGGAACCATTTTACAGACTATATTCGCACTTCTCCAGAAATAGTAGACGGCTCCAAATTGCATTGCATGCGAGCCATGAACGATCTCACCATAAAGCCATGGAAGGCAATCATGCAAACGTATTTTTTATTTTAATTTTAATTTTATTGTTGTTGTTTTTTAAACAAAACAATATTTATAAATAAGATGAGGTCGGAACCATTATATCAAAAACCGCATCTCTCGTTTCATGACCATAATGTGGCGTTCACATACTATTGGGGTTATCAGAAGTTCTGACTGTTACCAACCGCGTTACTGCTAATCTGCTTCTGGTAGGTCTTAAATCTCCCATTAGCGCCTCATGAATTTGGCACTTTTGCGCTTGTTTTTAAGGACACACCTCAAATATTGCCACCCCTTCCACCTCAGTGCAAGCGAGCGGATGTTAGAGAGGTAAATTGCCGAACCTGGCACAAGCGGTGTAAAATGCCAGAGCAACAGTTTTTACATGCACAAATTGCCAGAATTTGATCCTACTGAATAGTGATCTCAAATGTTGTCTTTGTGAAAGGCCTGATAAAATGTTTGATTAAGCTCTGTCATTTAAAAATATTCTCATAATATTTGTCAACTCAAATTATGTTGTAAGCAACACTACTGGGTCTTTCTTCATTGAAATCATCACATTGGTTCAGAGGAAATCATTTTATCACCATGTTTTTGAATGAAAAAAAGTATCTTGGTTTTAAACCCCCTCATGGTGACTGTGTGTTTGGTCTTGTCTATCCCAGAGGACATCATGGCCGAACACCTGATAAAATATATGGTGACTAAGGAGCCCAAGTGGAGGCCTTCTGCTGAGAGCGTGCTCGAACACCTCTTCTTCTGGAGCCTGGAGAAACAACTGCAGTTTTTCCAGGTATGAATCAAGTTTCATTGTTCACATTTAGATATAATAAAAAATCAAGTAATTTTATTCCCTGAAGAAAGCTCACCAGAATAACTACAATGGGGATACAGTAAATATAACTACAAGTGGCAATACTATAGCCCTCATTTTAGCTGCCTGTCTTTCTGGATTCTCCATTGAAGCTGTTTGTCCTTGTCATTAATGAGAACATTATGGATACCAAGTTTGTCAAACAATGGATCATCTTAAACCATTGGTTAAAATAGCCCACAGCTCATCAGAGGATGTTCATTAAGTCTGTTTTTTCCTGGCAAGCTGTAATTGTTTCTTCATATTAAACTGGAATACAGTGGAGCAGAAACAGTCTGGTACTCAAGCTAGTAATCGAGGACTCTATTGGCTACAAAGCTAGAAGGTAATAAAGGAGATATTTGAGGAATTAAAGCCATGTTTTCCCCTGTAGGGTGTGAGTGACTGGATTGATGGACAGTTACAGCTGAAGCAGTTGAACGACGCAATCATTGATCAGCTGGAGTCAGAAGCAGAAAAAGTGGTCAAGGGGAACTGGATGAAACACATCAATGAGGATCTGCGAGAAAGTTAGTGTCTGAGGATCAGTGTTTGAACACCAACAGACTGTGAGGCCTTAATATAATTTACGTATTGTATATCACAGCCACTTTAGCCTGGTTCAACTCAAGATCGTCATGACTGGCATGACAATGATTGACAGAGGTGTTGGCTAAAACAGATCTGGACCAGGCTACACCAACATCTCCTTTCTTGGTGGAATCACAAAATGATGGCCTCTTGTGATGACATAATTCTGGATCAATTCTTGCTATACTGTATATGTAGTTATCATTGTTTGCTTACGGGCTGTCGCTCCTCCCTCTGCAGATCTAGAAAAACGCAAAGGAGCATGTAAAGAGGGCTCCGTTGAACTATTCTACGGGCCATAAGAAACAAGGTAAGTGTGTTCTGTCCATTGGCAATGAATTACATAATATCTATTGATATGTATTGTATTATTCTAGTATTTGTATATTATCAAAATAAAATAAAATGTTACTGGTCTCGTACACATGTTGCAGATGTTAACCCAGGTGCATCGGAATGCTTAGGGAATGATCGACATTTACATAATGGGTACCATGCTTTTCCAATTTCAAACCCTCAAGGGAGGTTTTAGTATTTTTTAACTCTAGTCTAGTTTTAACTCTAGGGGAGGGTCATGTAATTTGTAATTGATGAAATGTCAATATTTCTCAGTGTTTTAGAATTAGTTGCTTATTAGGCTATATATCGCTGTGTGTCGGATGCGCCCCTCATCTCTGATTCTCCACTGGACGCGCAATATCAAGTACGCCTATAGGCTATTTAGTGTGGTCTCAATCAAATGATCCACATGCTATAGGCTACAAAGTGCATGCTCGGAGAAGCACAGAGCAAGGTTATATTTCTATGATAGCTGCTGGGATGGTGTAAATAAAACTGGGCTGCATTACACACTGCAATGGATATTCCAACCCTGAGCCTTGGCCGGCACTTCTGTTATTGATAAAAAACGTGTTTATGTGCTGCCTAACCAATGGCTGTGCTGTGTAGGCCTACAGTGGCAGTTCAGGGGGAGTCAAAGGCTTCTTCCAAATTAGTTTGTGTTGATTAGGCCTAGTCCCAAAAAATATTGTATGTGGACTAGCCTATAGCCTATGTTCTGTTCAGTTTGAGAAGGAGAGAGAGAATATGAGAAGGAGGACTGAAGGTCAACTTTGATAGCTTGCTAATACTATAATTGATTTATTCAAAACAATATGTTTCTTGCCCGTGATGTTGGCCAATTTATCCGACTTATTGACATCATAATAAGCCAGATTTGAGTAACTTACATTGTGGTGCTGAAACTTGAAGCAGCGGCACAATCAATCGGAAATGGACAGCTCATGGTGCTGAAAATAGGCACATTTGAGTAGGCATTCATTTAAACTGTCTTAATTTTAATTAGACTTTACTAACAACAAGAGGGCTTTATGTTGGAGCCTATTTGTCTTCCTATTTAAGAAATAAGAGGTAGGTCTATCTGTTTGACAGACAAAATTAGGCTATAGGCTGCTATATCCATAGATTTGTCGGTCAATTCCTCCATCCACCATGCACTCTTTAAATAGACTACTTCTGTGTCAGTGAAGAGCTGTTAAGTTAAAACCAAGACTCAAATTGAGGGGGTATGAGATGGTATGCCATAGGCCTACTTTTTATTAAAGAAAATGGCAAAAAGCACAGGCCTACCCCTTGTTAGTTTAATATTTTGAAGAAAATACAACTGATCTGATTTATAAAGTGATCTATAACAGCGCTTTGGTAGAAACAAGCTATAAAATACCAGAGAAAGACGTGACTCAGATGCATATGGGGATATCATTGTTTGGTTTCTTTGACATTCAGAGGCTGAGCTACAGCCTTCTGTAGCCGAGGAGACAAAACATGTACTTTGCTTGGGAAGTGTTCTAATTCTGTCACTATCAATTGATTAAGCTATTCACTTTCTGTACAATAGAAGATTTTTAAACCCAGACAGCTTTTAGGGAAGAACTTTTGACCTTCTCTCGTTGGGTTAAGCCAAGGAAGAAGAGTAGCCAGCAGTTAAAGCTTACATTTTTCTTCGTCTGTAGGCCTGGGGTGGAATGGTAGGTCTAACTTTTGAAAGTACCATGCTCAGATTCCTACTGATGTCTCAGATTTAATTATTTACAAACAGATACAGTTTCGTTGCAAACAAGACACACCGCAGCTCAATATTAGGAAGGTGTTCTTAATGTTTTGTGCACTGTGTATATAAATGGTGTGTATAGACAGTATGGACAGTATATGAATAGAAAAGGTGTGTACATCAGTAGTTAAACAGGATGAGCCTTGACTAGAATACAGTATATACAGTGCATTCAGAAAGTATTCAGACCCCTTGACTTTTTCCACATTTTGTTACGTTACAGCCTTATTCTAAAATGGATAAAATTGTTTTGTTCCCCTCATCAATCTACACACAATACCCCATAACGACAAAGCAAAAACGTTTTTTGAGAATTTTTTGCTAATGTATTACAAATCAAAACTGAAATATTACATTTACATAAGTAATCAGACCCTTTACTCAGTACTTTGTTGAAGCACCTTTGGCATCGAGTCTTCTTGGGAATGACGCTACAAGATTGGCACACCTGTATTTGGGGAGTTTCTCCCATTCTTCTCTGCAGATACTCTCAAGCTCTGTCAGGTTGGATGGGGAGCTTTGCTGCACAGTGATTTTCAGGTCTCTCCAGAGGTGTTAGATCGGGTTCAAGTCTGGGCTCTGGCTGGGCCACTCAAGGACATTCAGAGACTTGTCCCGAAGCCACTCCTGCATTGTCTTGGCTGTGTGCTTAGGGTCGTTGTCCTGTTGGAAGGTGAACCTTCACCCCAGTCTGAGGTTCTGAGCGCTCTGGAGCAGGTTTTCATCAAGGATCTCTCTGTACTTTGCTTCGTTCATCTTTGCCTCGACCCTGTCTAGTCTCCCAGTCCCTGCCGCTGAAAAACATCCCCACCGCATGATGCTGCCACCACCATGCTTCACCATAGGGATGGTGCCAGGTTTCCTCCATACTTGACACTTGGCATTCAGGCCAAATAATTCAATCTTGGTTTCATCAGACCAGAGAATCTTGTTTCTCATGGTCTGAGAGTCGTTAGGTGCCTTTTGGCAATCTCCAAGCGGGCTGTCATGTGCCTTTTACTGAGGAGTGGCTTCCGTCTGGCCACTCTACTATAGAGGCCTGATTTGTGGAGTGCTGCAGAGATGGTTGTCCTTCTGGAAGTTTCTCCCATCTCCACAGAGGAACTCTAAAGCTCTGTCAGATTGGCCATTGGGTTCTTGGTCACCTCCCTAACCAAGGCCATTCTACCCCGATTGCCCAGTTTGGCCAGGCGGCCAGCTCTAGGAAGAGACTTGGTGGTACCAAACTTCTTCCATTTAAGAATGATGGAGGCCACTGTGTTCTTAACGACCTTCAATGCTGCAGAATTTTTTTTATACCCTTCCCCAGATCTGTGCCTCGACACAATCCTGTCTCGGAGCTCTACGGACAATTCTTCGACCTCATGGCTTTTGCTCTGACATGCACTGTCAACTCTGGGACCTTATATAGACAGGTGTGTGCCTTTCCAAATCATGTCCAATCAATTGAATTTACCACAGGTGGACTCCAATCAAGTTGTAGAAACATCTCAAGGATGATCAATGGAAACAGGATGCACCTGAGCTCAATTTCGAGTCTCATAGCAAAGGGTCTGAATACTTATGTAAATGTGATATTTACGTTTTTTTATTTTTGATAAACGTTCTAAACTTTCTAAAAACCTGTTTTTGCTTTGTCATTATGGGGTATTGTGTGTAGATTGATGAGGGGGAAAAAAACAATGTAATCAATTTTAGAATAAGGCTGTAACGTAACAGAATGTGGAAAAAGTCAAGGGGTCTGAATACTTTCCGAAGGCACTGTACATCTGAAGTTGGTAAAACAGTTTGCAAACATTAAAGTGACCAGTGTTCATTGACTATGTACATAGGGCAGCTGTGATGGGTGATTTGAAGGACTCAGGCGCAGAAGGGTAAATCACAGAATACAGAGTTTATTCCGGAATACAGAGTTACGCAGATATAGCGTCAAACAGTCCAGTGCGCAAAACAGGCGCACTGGAACAAAACAGGCACACAGGGAAAATATACCCTGGCAATACAAAATACACGTAGCTCAACCGAGCTACTCTCTCCTCACATTAAACATTCACCCACAAGGACAAGGGGGCAGAGGGAACACTTATACATGTACTAATGAGGGGATATGAACCAGGTGTGTGTAATAGACAAAACAAAACAAATGGAATGATGAGATGAGATGCGGCAGTGGCTAGAAGGCCGTTGATGACGAACGCCGAAGCCTGCCCGAACAAGGAGAGGAGGCAGCTTCTGAGGAAGTCGTGACAGCAGCAGTCTCTAAGGTGCTGCTACTCATTTACATTTACATTTACGTCATTTAGCAGACGCTCTTATCCAGAGCGACTTACAAATAGGTGCATTCACCTTATAGCCAGTGGGATAACCACTTTACAATGTGTTTTTTTTTTTGGGGGGGGGGGGGGGGTAGAAGGATTACTTTATCCTATCCCAGGTATTCCTTAAAGAGGTGGGGTTTCAAATGTCTCCGGAAGGTGGTGAGTGACTCCGCTGTCCTGGCGTCGTGAGGGAGCTTGTTCCACCATTGGGGTGCCAGAGCAGCGAACAGTTTTGACTGGGCTGAGCGGGAACTATGCTTCCGCAGAGGTAGGGGAGCCAGCAGGCCAGAGGTGGATGAACGCAATGCCCTCGTTTGGGTGTAGGGACTGATCAGAGCCTGAAGGTACGGAGGTGCCGTTCCCCTCACAGCTCCGTAGGCAAGCACCATGGTCTTGTAGCAGATGCGAGCTTCAACTGGAAGCCAGTGGAGTGTGCGGAGGAGCGGGGTGACGTGAGAGAACTTGGGAAGGTTGAACACCAGACGGGCTGCGGCATTCTGGATGAGTTGTAGGGGTTTAATGGCACAGGCAGGGAGCCCAGCCAACAGCGAGTTGCAGTAATCCAGACGGGAGATGACAAGTGCCTGGATTAGGACCTGTGCCGCTTCCTGTGTAAGGCAGGGTCGTGCTCTCCGAATGTTGTAGAGCATGAACCTATAGGATCGGGTCACTGCCTTGATGTTAGCGGAGAACGACAGGGTGTTGTCCAGGGTCACGCCAAGGCTCTTCACACTCTGGGAGGAGGACACAACGGAGTTGTCAACCGTGATGGCGAGATCATGGAACAGGCAGTCCTTCCCCGGGAGGAAGAGCAGCTCCGTCTTGCCAAGGTTCAGCTTGAGGTGGTGATCCGTCATCCATACTGATATGTCTGCCAGACATGCAGAGATGCGATTCGCCACCTGGTTATCAGAAGGGGGAAAGGAGAAGATTAGTTGTGTGTCGTCAGCGTAGCAATGATAGGAGAGGCCATGTGAGGATATGACAGAGCCAAGTGACTTGGTGTATAGCGAGAATAGGAGAGGGCCTAGAACTGAGCCCTGGGGGACACCAGTGGTGAGAGCACGTGGTGCGGAGACAGCTTCTCGCCACGCCACTTGGTAGGAGCGACCGGTCAGGTAGGACGCAATCCAAGAGTGAGCCGCGCCGGAGATGCCCAGCTCGGAGAGGGTAGAGAGGAGGATCTGATGGTTCACAGTATCAAAGGCAGCAGACAGGTCTAGAAGGACAAGAGCAGAGGAGAGAGAGTTAGCTTTAGCAGTGCGGAGAGCCTCCGTGACACAGAGAAGAGCAGTCTCAGTTGAATGACCAGTCTTGAAACCTGACTGGTTTGGATCAAGAAGGTCATTCTGAGAGAGATAGCAAGAGAGTTGGCTAAAGACGGCACGCTATATTGGTATAAGTAGTTCATTGTGTAACATTAATAATTATTTAATTATTGTTATCAGAATTAATCAAATACATAAGGTATGGACATATTTCTTTGTGTGACTACAACCTCCTTTAATATACTGAACAAAAATATAAACGCAACATGAAATAATTTCAACGATTTTACTGAGTTACAGGTCATATAAGCAAATTAGTCAATTGAAATAAACTAATTTGGCCCTAATCTATGGATTTCACATGACTGGGCAGGAGCGCAGCCATGGGTGGGCCTGGGAAGGCATAGGCCCACCCACTGAGGAGCCAGGCCCAGCCAATCAGAATTAGCTTTTCCCCACAAGAGGACTTTATTACAGACAGAAATACTCCTCAGTTTCATTAGCTGTCTGGGTGGCTGGTCTCAGATGATCCCGCAGGTGAAAAAGCCGGATGTGGAGGTCCTGGACTGGCGTGGTTACACGTAGTCTGTGGTTGTGAGGCCGGTTGGACGTATGACCAAATTCTCTAAAAATGACATTGGAGGCGGCTTATGGTTGAGAAATGAACATTGAATTCTCTGGCAACAGCTCTGGGGGACATTCCTGCAGTCAGCATGCCAATTGCACGCTCCCTCAAAACTTGAGACATCTGTGGTTTGTGTTGTGTGACAAAGCTGCACATTTTAGAGTGGCCTTTTATTGTCCCCAGCACAAGGTGCACCTGCGTAATGGTCATGCTGTTTAATTCTTGATATGCCACACCTGTTAGGTGGAAGGATTATCTTGGCAAAGGAAAAATGCTCACTAACAGGGATGGAAACAAATTTGTGCACAAAAGTTGAGAGACATTTTTGTGCATATGGAACATTTCAGGGATCTTTTATTCCAGCTCATGAAACATGAGACCAACACTTTACATGTTGCGTTTATATTTTTGTTCAGGATTGATAACCTCATTAAATGTGTGAAAGTGACATTCTATAAACTGTATGCTGTTTCCCATAGAGTAACCATTACGATGAAATTCCAGATCTCCATAAGACGTTCGGCTCATTCCCAGAAGGCTTTGTGTCCTACTTCACCTCCCGCTTCCCCCACCTGCTGCTGCACACCTACCGGGCCATGCTCACCTGTGCTGAGGAGATGGCCTTCCAGAAATACTACCCCAAGTTGAGAGAGGCGTGGATGGTCTATGACACACAGACAGCCTAAGACCAAAAGGTCCTTTACACCAATCTTTGAAGTGATGACAACCAAGCCACCAGCCCAAATATTGTGTATTTTTCTAGGCTTTGCTTTTATTGTTGTTTTCGTAACATGAACCTGCAGTGCACTGAATCCAGAGACATTCCTTCAATGACAATTCCATAACTAGATAGAGGCTGTCAGTTCACTGTACTGTCAGTGTACAAAAGTGAACTTAGCTTTTTTTTGTGTGTATCTGTTTTTCTATTACATTGCTTATGAAATATTATTATTTATGCATGAAGGTATTCCTGATCCTCTGTGGACCCTGACACTGTACCTTGTTTTGTTTATGTATGTGTATAGGTGATTTAATGCTTTATAGATGAAGCCTGTACCATGTTTGACTATGATGGCTTTTAGTGCCTCAACTAAATTTGAGTGGTCCACAGTGTTTTTGTTCCTTTTTTTTCCTGTATTCTTATATTATTGTATCATTGTGGATTGACACTTAAATACATTTTCCTAACTAGGTTACCCTGCCTGGTCCTTATGATCACTGTTAGTCAATTAGAGTCTACCCTGGTCCTTCTGATCACTGCTATTCTATTAGAGTCTATATAGACTGATGTGATAACAAGATGTTTGTACTGTAGCTACTTATTCATTATGATGTACTAGCTATATGAAATATGTGAGCCTGCTTCACGAAAGGGGGGGGCAATGCAAATAGTCCGGGTAGCCATGATTAGCTGTTCAGGAGTCTTATGGCTTGGAGGTAGAAGCCGTTCAGGAGTCTTATGGCTTGGGGGTAGAAGCTGTTAAGAAGCCTTTTGGAACTACACTTGGCGCTCCGGGTACCGATCACTAGTTAACATACAACACCATACTTTTTGCATTAGATAAATGCACTCAAATAATCGAAGTATAGGCTACCTCCAGTGTAAACTGTGCGGTAGCATACTAGGCAGCGCCCAGTTTGTCCCTAGCGACATGCCGTCGAAATCGCTCCGTCCAGTTCAACAACAACTTTTCACGTGCGTGGGCAAGCGAAGCGACATTCAATGCATTTTATGTGGCCTGCCCTAGAGTAAGTACTGGGGAAAATGCGTACATTTAATCTCATAATTTTCAACGGCTTTCTAATATCTCTTGCTAACATTTAGCTATGTATGCACTAGGCAGACAATTCTAGCTACAGTCTGTTCTAGCTAACGTTAGCTTGCACACTCCTTGTCTTGTTTATGTGTGTAACGTTAGACTGTGTACACCTGTCAGCTGACATATAACATCTATCGGTAGTGATAGGTCCACAATTTGTTGTAGTGTGTCCATAGTTGCCAATTATCTTAGGCTACCGTTTCATATCATTTTCATTTGCTCGTCAGCATTTGGAGACAGTTTTGCCCCACCACCTCCCAGATTTCCCAACTCGACACAGGACATGGGTTTGTCTAGTTGTCTGTCTGCCCTGTCTCTCTCTGCCCTGATCACCCTGGCCTTGATAACATGTTTACACCTTAGCTACCTGTCTGACCAAAAGGTCTCACTGATAAAGTTAACTAGCAAAAAACAACCAGATGAGACACCAATACACCTATCAGTAAGACGTGATTTAGAGGAGGATCCAGCAACAAGACAGGTCAGTGAGAGGGAGGATATAGTGAACCTCCAGAGGGTTAGCTCCCATCTTGCCCCCAGTCACAGATTGCTGGGGGAAGTCCCCCACCCAGCCAGCTCCAGTGGTCCCAGAGAGGCTGAGTGTAGGAGGGTAGCCCATGAGAGCCGCTTTGACTGTGCCCGGGACCGAGTTCTGAGCCAGACAGAGTGTCAGGGGAGAGGGTGCTGCTATGCTCCCCTACCACAAGGCCTCTCTGGAGGACCCCCGTGGTGCTTCTACCCCCCGTCATACAGCGGGTACAGGATGGGGCCCCTCACCCCCACTTCCAGGGGCCAGGCTGCCACCCTCACGAGGCCCACTCCCTCCTACCTGCCCCGGGATATCTCTATACTCCAGTTGGAGGTCCTGGATGAGACAGAAGGCCGACTGCACCTCACGGTTCGTCTTTGTGGATGTATAACCACTCGTATATTTCCTGCCGAGATAAAGGGTTTGGTTTCCATTGTCTTTGTCTATAACATTGCTTTTAAAAGTGTTGCCTCTAAAAAGGGCATACAGTATTTGCTACATGTTTTATCTCATTACTTTTTAATAAATTTTACTATAACCAATCACTCATCAGCGAGAAGTCATTCTCCTCAGACTATATTATTGTGTAAGAGTCATAACAACACGTTTCTTCTCCCTACAGTTGAAGGATCCATCGTCCCAGCGATATGAAGTTCCCCTATCCACTTCCCCATCCAGAGGTAACGCTCAAACCCAGGACCACCTCTATGTCACTGAGTTTCAAGCTGACCCTTTTGGGTTCATAGTGTGCCGGAAATCCAACAGCCGTGTCCTGTGAGTATTCATTGTCAGTTGGTCTTTATGTCTGCTTATACAGTACCAGTCAAAAGGTTTTACACACCTACTCATTCAAGGGTTTTTCTTTATTTTTACTATTTTCTAAATTGTAGAATAATAGTGAAGACCTCAAAACTATGAAATAACACATATGGAATCATGTAGTAACCAAAAAAGTGATAAACAAATCAAAATATATTTTATATTTGAAGAATCTCAAAGTAGCCACCCTTTGCCTTGATGAGAGCTTTGCACACTTGGCATTCTCTCAACCAGCTTCATGAGGAATGCTTTCCAACAGTCTTGAAGGAGTTCCCACATATGCAGAGCACTTGTTGGCTGCTTTTCCTTCACTCTGCTGTCCAACTCTAGCCAAACCATCTAAATTGGGTGGAGGCCAGGTCATCTGATGCAGCACTCCATCACTCTCCTTGGTCAAATAGCCCTTACACAGCCTGGAGGTGTGTTTTGGGTCATTGTCCTGTTGAAAAACAAATGATAGTCCCACTAAGCGCAAACCAGATGGGATGGTTCATTGATTAGATCTCCTAAACTTGACATAAAACAATTTGGACTCATCAGACCGAAGGACAGATTTCTACCGGTCTAATGTCCATTGCTCGTGTTTCTTGGCCCAAGCAAGTCTCTTCTTCTTATTGGTGTCCTTTAGTAGTGGTTTCTTTGCAGCAATTCGACCATGAAGGCCTGATTCACACAGTCTCCTCTGAACAGTTGATGTTGAGATGTGTCTGTTACTTGAACTCTGTGAAGCATTTATTTGGGCTGCAATTTCTGAGGCTGGAAACTCTAATGAACTTATCCTCTGCAGCAGAGGTAACTCTGGGTCTTCCTTTCCTGTGGTGGTTCTCATGAGAGCCAGTTTCATCATAGCGCTTGATGTTTTTTGCGACTGCACTTGAAGAGATTTTCCGGATTGACTGACCTTCATGTCTTAAAGTAATGATGGACTGTCGTTTCTCTTTGCTTATTTGAGCTGTTCCTGACATAATATGGACTTGGTCTTTTACCAAATAGGGCTATCTTCTGTATACCACCCCTACCTTGTCACAACACAACTGATTGGCTCAATCATTTACATTTACATTTTAGTCATTTAGCAGACGCTCTTATCCAGAGCGACTTACAGTTAGTGAGTGCATACATTCTTTTTTTTTTTTTTCATACTGGCCCCCCGTGGGAATCGAACCCACAACCCTGGCGTTGAAAACGCCATGCTCTACCAACTGAGCTACATCCCTGCCGGCCATTCCCTCCCCTACCCTGGACGACGCTGGGCCAATTGTGCGCCGCCCCATGGGTCTCCCGGTCACAGCGAGCTACGACAGAGCCTGGATTCGAACCAGGATCTCTAGTGGCACAGCTAGCACTGCGATCAATCACATTAAGAAGGAAAGAAATTCCACAAATTAACTTTTAAGAAGGCACACCTGTTAATTGAAATGCATTCCAGGTGACTACCTCATGAAGCTGTTTGAGAGAATGCCAAGATTGTGCAAAGCTGTCATCAAGGCAAAGGGTGGCTACTTTGAAGAATCTCAAATATAAAATATATTTTGATTTGTTTAACACTTTTTTGGTTATTACATGATTCTGTATGTGTTATTTCATAATGTTGATGTCTTCACTATTATTCTACAATGTAGAAAATAGTAAAAATAAAGAAAAACCCTTGAATGAGTAGGTGTGTCCAAACTGTTGACTGGGACTGTATGTCTGGCACTGGTTCATTGATCAGATCTCCTAAACCTGACATAAAACTGTTGTAACCATGTCATAGGCCTAACACATAAGATAAGGATTTTTTGTATCGATCCCAAAGGGTAAATTGGCTTGCAGTATGACAATATATTGCTGTGTTTCTACTTATAGCAGTCATAAGCATGACGTAAGATGTCCCTGTCCCTACTTACAACTGTCATAAGCATGACACCGCTGTCCTCTGTCTGTCAGTGTGAACACCACGGTGGCCCCGCTGCTGTATGCTGACCAGTACCTGCAGCTGTCTACCTCCCTGGCCTCCTCACTGGTGTCTGGGCTGGGGGAACACTACACCCCCCTCAGCCTGGACCTCAATTGGACCTCCCTCACCCTCTGGAACAGGGACATGGCGCCCCATGTGAGTCTGACGTCATTATCATCATCTTCATCATCATCATTCATTTGCTTCCTTTTTAAATCATGATCAGGAGTGGTAAGTAAGTCAGATGTCTTCTTTATTCACCATGCAGGGCGATGCCAACCTGTATGGCTCCCATCCGTTCTACATGGTGCAGGAGGGGGATGGAAAGGCTCATGGGGTCTTCCTGCTCAACAGCAATGCCATGGGTAAAAAAGCATGTTGCTCCATGTACCATATCCTAAAGCAGAAATGTTTTGTTCTAATAGGAAAGCTTTGGTTTGAGCTAGTATATTTTGTAATCCCTCTTTTGATGATCTGACAATGTAATGGGTATTTAGCCTCGAGCAGACCACCAAGGCTGTCGGACATGCTACTTAGCAGCTCTGCCCAGAATGTCGGCAGTCAGTCTTTTTGTGTGTTTACATGGCACAGTACTTCTACTGTATCAGGATACAGGTGTAAATAATTGAGCCGAGTTTGACCTCTCCTTCTCTCTGTAGAGGTGGTCCTGCAGCCTAGCCCTGCTCTGACCTGGGTGGCTGTGGGAGGAATCCTGGACCTGTACATCTTCCTGGGCCCTGACCCTCAGAGTGTTGTCAGACAGTACCTCCAGGTTATAGGTATGGCTGTGTATGACCTTTAGGTGTAACTTCCTGTCACTGAATATCCTTTTCTTGTCTCCTATCCCAGTGTTTCTATGGTGGGAAGGGCCACTGGTGGGTCACAACTAATTCCTTTTGGGTAATAGCTAAGGAAAGGATAGTGTCTGTCTGTATCTTAGTGTCCTAGTAGTCTGAACGTGCTCCCTCATCTCCTTTCCTTCATCTCCTTTCACTTATGTGAAAGAACTTGACTGGTGAAAGCAAAACATTTTCCACTGTTAGGCACCATCCACCATATAGGTGTTATCCACCATATTGCTCTAACCTTTTGTGAATCTTCCGTCATAGCTAATGTCTACCCCGTCGTCTTCCCCCAGGGTACCCTATGATGCCTCCTTATTGGTCACTGGGGTTCCACCTGTGTCGCTGGGGATACCGGTCCACCAACGCAACCCGAGAGGTGGTGCGACGCATGCACAACGCCAACTTTCCCTTGGTAAAGATGCTGGAGGAAACACTTATATTGCAGTACAGTATTATCACTTGGGTTGACAGCTATTGGATAATGCTAACATTGAATTGTTAGCATTATCATGCTACAATGGGTTTTCTCCATGCTAATGCTAATTGGATGTTTGCGTTCTCAAGTACAGTATTATCATACCACTGAGGGTTCACAATTCTTGGAGAACATTCACTGCATTCTTTAGTTCAACTGCTTTTGTTCTTGGTCAGGACGTGCAGTGGAATGACCTGGATTACGCAGACAAGCGTCGGGTGTTCACCTTTGACCCCCAGCGCTTCGTGGACCTGCCAGACATGGTGAAGGAGTTCCATCAGAAGGGCATGAGGTACATTCTCATCCTGGTAAGAGAGAGGCCTCAACCCTCATAACATTTTGGACACATAGGCACACTAATAACTAATATTAGATTGAAATAGTACTTCAATGTAATTTTGTATTCTAAATAACAATCTGCATTGTGATTAAATTGTTGAATGAGTGCAATATTGGAAGGTACATCTAAAACTTCTAACCCTGATAGAAGGGAGCCAGTTAAGGAACCTTTCCTTCTCAATCCACAAGATGGGAGCAAAAGCATTACTGTAATTGTATTTTCCCAGGACCCTGGGATCAGCAGCACCAGCCCCCCTGGTACTTACCCACCCTTTGATGAGGGTCAGCGGAGAGGGGTCTTCATCAGGAACTCTACAGGACAGACACTCATAGGGAAGGTCAGACCTAAAACTCTAATTTCTCCTCTATTTCGAGACCCAGTGTAAACTGGGCTACATATACTTGGGAAATAACATATTTTTGATCGGTTTGAAAACATTGTGTATGTTCATTGTGTATTCAAGTAATGTGTCCGCTGAAAAGCAAGGTTACTCTAAACAAAACTTCCTCTTGAAGGTGTGTGTGTGTGTGTGTGTGTGTGTGTGTGTGTGTGTGTGTGTGTGTGTGCATGCAGGCGTGTGTGTTGTGTGGAAAGATATGCATGTTGGGTTCCTCAATCTTCTTCCTCTGTGTCCAGTTGTGGCCTGGTCCGACAGCGTTCCCTGACTTCACCAACCCAGAGACACAGAGCTGGTGGGAGGACTGCATCCGGGAGTTCCACTCCAGAGTCCCCCTGGATGGCCTGTGGATCGTGAGTGTGTCGCAGATAGAAATGTCTTGTAGAGGGCTGAAATCATCCCCTATTCTATATTTGCACTAACAAGCTTACATCATCCAGGCTGTGTCAATGCTACTCAGCAACCAACACACTCTTTCTCTCGTCGCTCTGTTCTCAGGATATGAATGAACCAGACAGTTTTGTGCAGGGCTCTATGGAGGGGTGTCCTGACAGTGATTTGGAGAGCCCCCCCTACGTGCCACGTGAGTGTACTGCAGCTGAATAGTTTCCTGTCAATATAAAATCAATTGAGGAATTTAGTGAATTCAATCATACATTTTCATGAATTCTGTCTCCATACACACACATACAGGGGTGGTTGGAGGACAGCTGAACACTGGTACTCTCTGCATGTCAGCTCAACAGAACCTGTCCACTCACTACAACCTGCATAACCTCTATGGGCTGACGGAGGCTAGCGCCACCCACAGGTCAGACACAGCACTACAGGGATCAGTGTCACACCTTATCCTAAAACTATGTTGTCACATTTACTTCTGGTTGTTTGAATGAAGCAGATTTAATTTACCTTGTCTAGATTACAAATTTGCCACCTTTGTAACTGTAGTTGGAAGATCAATTATAGCAGAAGTGTCGAATCAATGTTGAAACTATGTTGTACCTTGGGTTAAGACTGTATGACATGACCTCCCATCTTTGGCCTTTGACCCTCTCAGTGCCCTGGTGAAGGTCCGGGGGTCGCGACCCTTCGTGCTGTCCCGCTCCTCCTTCCCTGGCATCGGCCGTTTCTCCGGAGTCTGGACGGGAGATGTGAGGAGCGACTGGGAGCAGCTCAGATACTCCATCCCTGGTGAGGGGAAATACATCCCAAAATGTCCATCTCCATTACAAGCCATTCCCATTCCTATTCCCAAAGCCATTCACAAGCCCTGAGTGTGTGTTTTAGCCATCAGAGGACTAATGGTACCGATGCACCATCCAGACAGTACACGTTGCAGTGTGCTCTTACTCAGCAGTTTGTTGTCTCCTCTATTGTCCTCAGTTGAAAGTTGGAGCCTTTTCAGTGGTAGTTAACTATGGACTTGAATGAGGGGTTTGAATAGTCTCTCTCTCTCTCAGACTTGTAATGGAACCTCCTACTTTTTATTTCACTGGATGTAGCTAGCAAGTACAGAGAGATGCCTCTGTCTGCCTGACATCAAAGTTAAATAATGAATAAAGTGAATGAATATGGCCAATATCCGTCCGTCCCTCCACCCCCCAGCCGTGCTGCTGTTTGGCCTGTTCGGGGTGCCCCTGGCGGGGGCGGATGTGTGTGGGTTCGGGGGGGACACCACAGAGGAGCTGTGTGTACGCTGGACCCAGCTTGGAGCCTTCTACCCCTTCATGAGGAACCACAACGACAAGCCCAACGCTGTGAGTTGTGCTATCGTTGTGTGGGTGGGTGCACGCAAGCCAGGTTGTATGGTCTATACAGTTAACTTAGTTGGATAGGAATTTACCAAAATGTTTTCCTGAACTGCTAATGTCTTTTCACTGTCTCTATGTAACAGTCCATGGGTCTCATGTATTATGAATGGAGGTATCTCTAGCTCTGTGTGTGTGTAGCCCCAGGAGCCCTATGTGTTTGGGCAGGAGGCCCAGGCGGCTATGCGTAGCGCGGTGACGTTGCGTTACTCTCTCCTGCCGTTCCTCTACACACTCTTCTACCACGCACACACCTCCGCAGACACTGTGGCCACGCCTCTCTTCCTCCAGTACGTCCCTCTACTCCTCCTCTCTTCTCCTCTCAATTGCCATTGTCCACTCCAATCTTCCCTTCTCCTCTCTCTCTCTCTCTCTCTCTCTCTTCAATATTTGGACACTATTGTAACACTCTTATTTACACTCTTATTTACTATGTTGAAACTGTTTTCTGCCCCTCCCTCCCTCTCTGTCCATCTCTCCCAGGTTCCCCTCGGACCCTAACTGCCAGACCATAGACAGACAGTTCCTGTGGGGAAGTTCTCTGCTCGTCAGCCCGGTGTTAGAGCAGGGGGCAGTGGAGCTGGCTGCCTACCTCCCCCCGGGGACTTGGTACAGTCTGCACAATGTAAACAGCTCCTCCATTCAATACAGTTATACACTAAGTGTACAAAACATTATGAACAACTTCCTAATATTGAGTTGCACTTCACCCTTTTGCCCTCAGAACAGCCTCAATTCGTCGGGGCATGGACTCTACAAGGTGTCAAAAGCGTTCCACAGGGATGCTTGCCCATGTTGACTCCAATGCTTCCCACAGTTATATCAAGTTGGCTGGATGTCCTTTGGGTGGTGGACCATTCTTGATACACACGGGAAACTGTTGAAAGCCCAGCAGCGTTGCAGTTCTTGACACAAACTGGTGCGCCTGGAACCTACTACCATACCCCGTTCAAAGGCACTTAAATATTTAAGTCTATGGCATGGAAAGAGCAGGTGTTCCTAATGTTTTGTACACTCAGTGTATTTGTATAGGCCTTTCATACTGTCACTGCTATTAGTTCACAACTGCTTAAAGGGATTCCTAGGAGACCTAGCCCATCTTTTCTGTCGCTAACAGACATAAACCGATAAAAAAATATGTGTGAGCCTTTCTTACAGTCTTGTAGGCTTACTTTAGGACCAGGCAAAGATGTGTAATACTGTTGTACTGTGTCTACTATAACCATATTCCAATGGGCATCTCTCTCTCTCTCTCTCTCTCTCTCTCTCTTTCTCTCTCTCCTTTCATCCCTCCCTCCCTAGGGCCAGCCGTTCTACAGTAAGGGTCAGTACCTGCTCCTCCCAGCCCCTCTGGACACCATCAACGTCCATGTGAGAGAGGGACACATCATCCCACAGCAGGTGTGTGTCCTCTGTACACAATAGAGTTTGGTTGGCTGTTGTTTCATTGTGTGACAAAGCTTCATCTTAGGCCCATACTGTGGGTGTTACACACTGATGGTGGAGGAGATGAATGAGCTGCCAAACTCTCATATCATGAAATCAATTAAAGTTATTTGTCATAGAACAAGAGACACAGAATTCCTTTGTGAAACTGTGTGATAAAACCTAAAATGAAATACTCTCTGCGTACTAATCTGACTATGATCTTTTGGAGCTTGTGTCAGTTTTCTGTGTAAAGCCTGTTGCCTGTCTTAATCAGTAATTATATTATATATTTCAATGGAAAATACCCTCAAAATACCTTCTAACTGAGATACAGGAGCCAGCCCTGACCACCTCAGCTTCTCGCAGTAACCCTTTCCTCCTGACGGTGGCGCTGTCTGCTGGGGGTTGGGCCTGGGGTGACCTGTTCTGGGATGATGGGGACAGTCTGGACACCTTCCAGAGAGGAGACTACTCCTATGTTATCTTCATCGCAGGACAGGTAGGAGATGTAGAGGTCGCATAGGGTCCTGAGTTTTTCCTGATCACACAACCTGACCAAGGAAAACTTGGGGCCCTAGTTATAGCCCACTTCAAGGCTATCCCTGATGTAGTGAAAAAATAAAATAAAAAATTAAGTAAGCTTTATGCGACATCTTTTTGAGTGCGGACCCATCACACCTTTTGTGTGTCCTACTTCAAGGTACTTCATGACATCAAATTGTATTTGTCACATACACGTGTTTAGCAGATGTTATAGCGGGTGTAGCGAAATGCTTGTGCTTCTAGCTCCGACAGTGCAGTAATATCTAACAAGTAATATCTAACAATTTGACAACATATACCTAATACACACAAAACTAGTAAGGAATGGAATTTAAGAAAATATACATATATGGACAAGCAATGACAGAGCGGCATGGACTAAGATACAGTAGAATATTATAGAATAGAATGCAGTATATACATATGAGATGAGTAGTGCAAGATATGTAAACATTATTAAAGTGACTAGTGTTCCACTTCTTAAAGTGGCCAGTGATTTCAATAGGCAGCAGCAGCCTCTAATGTGCTAGTGATGGCTATTTAACAGTCTGATGGCCTTGAGATAGAAGCTGTTTTTCATTCTCTCGGTCCATCTGGGTAGGAAAAATGTAGGGCCCTAAATGGAGATCAGGGAATTATCTAGGGTGATTTGGATGTTTCTGCAGTACAGTATGTTTCTAGCAATGCTTGCAAGATTTATATCCAGATCCAATCCAATCAAAGATTGAAGATGTACTCTTCCCCTGTCATCCTGTGAACAGTAGGCCTAACTTTTAATGTCTAATGTATACTGGTACTATACAGTGCCTTCGGAAAGTATTCAAACCCCTTGACCTTTTCCACATTTTGTTACGTTACAACCTTATTCTAAAATGGATGAAATAAAAAAACATCTGCAGCAATCTACACACAATAACCCATAATGACGAAGCGAAAACAGGTTTTTAGATATTTCTGCTAATTTATTAAAAATAAAAAACAGAAATACCTTATTTACATAAGTATTCAGACCCTTTGCTATGAGACTCGAAATTGAGCTCAGGTGCGTCCTGTTTCCATTGATCATCCTTGAGATGTTTCTACAACTTAATTGGAGTCCACCTGTGGTAAATTGAATTGATTGGACATGATTTGGAAAGGCACACACCTGTCTATATAAGGTCCCACAGTTGACAGTGCATGTCAGAGCAAAAACCAAGCCATGAGGTCGCAGGTATTGTTCGTAGAGCTCCAAGACAGGATTGTGTCGAGGCACAGATCTGGGGAAGGGTACCAAAAAATGTCTGCAGCATTTAAGGTCCCCAAGAATACAGTGGCCTCCATCATTCTTAAATTGAAGAAGTTTGGAACCACCAAGACTCTTCCTAGAGCTGGCCACCCGGCCAAACTGAGCAATCGGGGGAGAAGGGCCTTGGTCAGGGAGGTGACCAAGAACCCGATGGTCACTCTGCCAGAGCTCTAGAGTTCCTCTGTGGCAATTGGAGAACCTTCCAGAAGGACGACCATCTCTGCAGCACTCCACCTATCAGGCCTTTATGGTAGAGTGGCCAGACGGAAGCCACTCCTCAGAAAATGGCACATGACAGCCTGCTTGGAGTTTTCCAAAAGGCACCTAAAGACTCTGACTATGAGAAACAAGATTCTCTGGTCTGATGAAACCAAGATTGAACTCTTTGGCCTGAATGCCAAGCGTCACGTCTGGAGGAAACCTGGCACCATCCCTACGGTGAAGCATGGTGGTGGCAGAATCATGCTGTGGGGATGTTTTTCAGCGGCAGGGACCGGGAGACTAGTCAGGATCAAGGGAAAGATGAACGGAGCAAAGTACAGAGAGATCCTTGATGAAAACCTGCTCCAGAGCACTCAGGACCTCAGACTGGGGCGAAGGTTCACCTTCCAACAGGATAACGACCCTAAGCACACAGCCAAGACAATGCAGGAGTGGCTTCAGGACAAGTCTCTGAATGTCCTTGAGTGGCCCAGCCAGAGCCTGGGCTTGAACCCAATCAAACATCTCTGGAGAGACCTGAAAATAGCTGTGCAGCAACGCTCCCCATCCAACCTGACAGAGCTTGAGAGGATCTGCAGAGACAAATGGGAGAATCTCCCCAAATACAGGTGTGTCAAGCTTGTAGTGTCATACCCAAGAAGACTCGAGGCTGTAATCGCGGCCAAAGGTGCTTCAACAAATTACTGAGTAAAGGGGTCTGAAAACTTATGTAAATGTGATATTTCCGGTTTTTTTTTATACATTTGGAAAAGTTTCAAGAAAACTTTTTTTGCTTTGTCGTTAAGGGGTATTGTGTGTAGATTGATGAGGAGGAAAAAAAACAATAATCAATTTTAGAATAAGGCTGTAATGTTACAAAATGTGGAAAAAGTCAAGGGGTCTGTATACTTTCTGAATGAACTGTACATGTGTGTGTTTGCCAGTAGGGATCAATACGGTTTTTCATTTGATCCAGTCCCAGGTGGTGAGTGACCCCCTGCATCAGAACGGGGCCCTGGACGGGCTGGTGCTGGGAGGGGTGCGGGTGTTCGGGATGCTCTCCCCACCCCGCTATGTATGGGCCAACGGAAAGAAAGTGAGGGATTTCTCTTATCGGACTGACACCAAGGTGAGCAGTAGCTGGCTGAGTTACCTCTATAGAGTTTAGAATTAAGAAATAGTAGAACGGACATTCTAATTCTGCTTGCCTACCTGTTTATTCTATTCAAATCTACAGTATAATATACACTGCTCAAAAAAATAAAGGGAACACTAAAATAACACATCCTAGATCTGAATGAATGAAATAATCTTATTAAATACTTTTTTCTTTACATAGTTGAATGTGCTGACAACAAAATCACACAAATTATCAATGGAAATCAAATGTATCCAACCCATGGAGCTCTGGATTTGGAGTCACCCTCAAAATTAAAGTGGAAAACCACACTACAGGCTGATCCAACTTTGATGTAATGTCCTTAAAACAAGTCAAAATGAGGCTCAGTAGTGTGTGTGGCCTCCACGTGCCTGTATGACCCCCCTACAACGCCTGGGCATGCTCCTGATGAGGTGGCGGATAGTCTCCTGAGGGATCTCCTCCCAGACCTGGACTAAAGCATCTGCCAACTCCTGGACAGTCTGTGGTGCAACGTGGCGTTGGTGGATGGAGCGAGACATGATGTCCCAGATGTGCTCAATTGGATTCAGGTCTGGGGAACGGGCGGGCCAGTCCATAGCATCAATGCCTTCCTCTTGCAGGAACTGCTGACACACTCCAGCCACATGAGGTCTAGCATTGTCTTGCATTAGGAGGAACCCAGGGCCAACCGCACCAGCATATGGTCTCACAAGGGTCTGAGGATCTCATCTCGGTACCTAATGGCAGTCAGGCTACCTCTGGCGAGCACATGGAGGGCTGTGCGGCCCCCCAAAGAAATGCCACCCCACACCATGACTGACCCACCGCCAAACCGGTCATGCTGGAGGATGTTGCAGGCAGCAGAACGTTCTCCACGGCGTCTCCAGACTCTGTCACGTCTGTCACATGTGCTCAGTGTGAACCTGCTTTCATCTGTGAAGAGCACAGGGCGCCAGTGGCGAATTTGCCAATCTTGGTGTTCTCTGGCAAATGCCAAACGTCCTGCACGGTGTTGGGCTGTAAGCACAACCCCCACCTGTGGACGTCGGGCCCTCATACCACCCTCATGGAGTCTGTTTCTGACCGTTTGAGCAGACACATGCACATTTGTGGCCTGCTGGAGGTCATTTTGCAGGGCTCTGGCAGTGCTCCTCCTGCTCCTCCTTGCACAAAGGCGGAGGTAGCGGTCCTGCTGCTGGGTTGTTGCCCTCCTACGGCCTCCTCCACGTCTCCTGATGTACTGGCCTGTCTCCTGGTAGCGCCTCCATGCTCTGGACACTACGCTGACAGACACAGCAAACCTTCTTGCCACAGCTCGCATTGATGTGCCATCCTGGATGAGCTGCACTACCTGAGCCACTTGTGTGGGTTGTAGACTCCGTCTCATGCTACCACTAGAGTGAAAGCACCTCCAGCATTCAAAAGTGACCAAAACATCAGCCAGGAAGCATAGGAACTGAGAAGTGGTCTGTGGTCACCACCTGCAGAACCACTTCTTTATTGGGGGTGTCTTGCTAATTGCCTATAATTTCCACCTGTTGTCTATTCCATTTGCACAACAACATGTGAAATGTATTGTCAATCAGTGTTGCTTCCTAAGTGGACAGTTTGATTTCACAGAAGTGTGATGGACTTGGAGTTACATTGTGTTGTTTAAGTGTTCCCTTTATTTTTTTGAGCAGTGTATATTGTTTATAATCCTGTTTGTCTGTAGGTTCTGACAGTGACCAGCCTGGCCCTGCCCATGTCAGAGGTGTTTGAAGTCCAGTGGACCTCATGACCCAGTGAGCCTTATGAACCGTGTGACTCAGTGAACCTCATAATGACTCAGTGGACTCTGTGACCCAGTAGACAGCCTCTCAGGTTGTTCTGGCACTCCTGACCTAGCAAATCTCTGACAAGAACCTCCACCCAAAGTTGCCCCTTCATCACTGCTACCCTGAAAGTTTCCCCTTCATCACTGCTACCCTGGGTAAGCAATTGCGCTAATAGACTTCTGGGTTTTATGAATGGACGGACTACACTGAAGTATTTTTGGAAATCATGGTTTTTATTGCTTTTATATTCAACTGTATTTTTAATAAAATCTGTGAAAAGTACCAGTGTGAACTGTGTGGGTTATTGGCGATGATAAACTTTTCAAACGCTCAATCAGATATTTCTCCATTTCCTCGTTGTTGCAGATGAGTGATTACATGACATTGTCTCAGGTGAGATGCTGAGACAGTGGTGTGAGATTGAGAATTGGGGTCATTCTAGAACACTGGGCTGAAATGTATTATTGTTTTACTATTTTAATTTGTCTCTCTGAGAAAAGTTTTATTGTAAATCTTTCTAACCTTTTATTATTTTATTTGTTAAGCACTTTTGAAATGCATCCCCTGTAAGAAATGTTCTCTATAAATAACGTTTGATTGATTGTCCTGAATAGAACAGTTAGCAGTGGCTCTACACAAATGTTTTTATTAATTAACATCTTAAATTGATCAGAATATGCAGATTCTGTACACTTCCAGTATGATGGTAGGATCTGTGTTAAGTCTTATCAAATTACTTCTAGTGATATTGCCATATTGTTACCATTAAAGGCAATAGATAGCTCTGGGTTTGTTTCTCCTAAGCTAAGCATTGTTTCTCATGTTTTCTTATTAGTGAGCTGTCACCACTGTTTGAATGTGCAGTCAGTTATCTCTTTCTTCATAGTCTGGTGAACATCTGCCTTATAACTCAGTGCAGTTAAGCTCAATACAAGTGTACAATTGCATATTGTAAACAATTATGAATTGCACAAAATATCATACCTGTAGTAGGGTTATGTTATCTTATGTTATCAATTATTGTTTAAAATATTGGGGTCGAAATACCTTGTCTTGAAATAGTCATTTTGAGATGTGCTGTTTATTGTTTAAATGATTGCTCATTATCCTTGCTGCTAGTGGTTTAACCTGCCACATATAAGAGTTCCAGCGGGACATCTGATATCCGCGTCATGATGCTCCGACTCCAGCTTCACTGGTCCTGATGATGCTCATGTGAGTTCGGGATCAGCCAACTGCAGTGAAGCTTTCGGCATTGACCTCTAAAACGTCATACTATGATAAAAGGTTAGCCTTACATAGATGTCTCATTTTGATGTGTTGATGAGGATAATTTGCTTTTGCTAATAAAACAAAAATACTTCCAAATGTAATGTGATCCTAATAGTTGACTGGCCCGTGCTTTCACAGAAGCAGCCTTTATCCAGTCTGCCATCCCGGAAGCAGAGGAATTTGGGGGTTGGGTTAGAGAAAGATAGCAGCTCGGCGTGCGGTAGAGAAAGACCGCACGGATACAAACACGCACTCCGCGTAACAAAATACCGAAGACGTGACCTCAAACTACTCTGATACAACCACCATAAACACCGCTTCGCTTCGGAATGGATAAGCGGCAAAGACAGTAGTCTCGGGTGGGACAGAGGGTGAGAAAGCAAGACTGCATCTCCTGTGTTTTTGAGTGTGCATTTATTTATTAATTCCCCTGCTCGCACAGGTGTTCACCGATTACCGAAAAGGAATAAAATGACCTCGTTTATTATGGATAAGGTTATGGTGTTTCTAGCCTACAAGAACCCGGTATTTCCTAGGCTAGGCTATTCCTTTGCCGAACTATGCGGGGTTGGTCGGGATGTGCGCTGAATGTGATGGGGAGCAATTTGAGGACATAGGCCAGCCAGCTAAACTAAAATATTTATTCGTGAAGGTAGGCTTAACTACAGATAAAATCCCTGCCCGGCCAAACCGATAGCAATGTCGGAGAGGCAGGGGAAGAAGGACCGGGCCCGTGAAAAATAATGTTGCGGCAGCGAGAATCCCGCTGTTCCATCCTCTCTCCTGTCAAATTGATGTTGCCTGTCATTGATACAATGTGTCAATAGTTGATGTAGCCTCGTCATCACGGGCGTTACGCCACTCTTGAGGATACTCCTCTGTTACTGTATCGCGTAGGCTATTGATAGCCTACAGCTATATTCATTGGCATAGAGAGAGCATTTACTAATGATTTCCACATGGCTATCTCATTGAGTTCATATCCACCTGTTTAAAGCTATAACAGGGTCAAATTATAGGCATATGCCTTGTGAATGTGATTTGGGAAGGTGGGCTAAGCCAACAATTTTTAGCTCCCGTTCGACCTAGGCTACTTCCATTCGAGCTCTACTTTACTAGGCATAATGTATACAGAATACTTATTGCTCTGTCTGTATCTGATACAAAGCCTATTGGCTCTTTGCTCATGGAAGTTAGTCTGCATGAGGGATTGCAACACACTGAGAGAGTCTGGTTATTTAAAGTCCCTTTTAGCTGCCCCCAAGGCAGTGGTTTGTTGTCACAATCCAGATGAACAGGAGAGGCAGTTAATTATGGAAGCCTCCTCTATTCAAACGTCAGCAGCCTGACACGTTTATTACAGTGGCCCGGACATGAACTTGAACCAACTGATCTGAGGCACTGGAACCCTCTGCCTTTATAGTCATTGTGGCTGGCAGGACACAGTGGGCTACTGTAGTGATACACTCACTCTGTATTCTCATTGAGGAAGGTTTAGTAGTCTCAGAAACAGAACATCTTCATTTTATTTTAGAAAATCCTTAGGACTGTTTTGTTTGAAGTTTTTCTGAATATAACAACTACATACAGCAAGGCAGAAGGAGACAAATACTCAATGAGATGAATGGCTACAGAAAAAATAATGACAGAATGCAGACTTCACACTCACAGGAGAGTAACAGGTTCTCTGGAAAGCTGTCTCCATTGTTGGAATGCTACAGTAGGACCAGTGTGAGGTGACAGAGGCTATAGTGGAGGAGACAAGGCAATGTGTGAACACACACACTGAGGTGATGACAGCATGGAAGAAGGAGAGAGAGGGTGGGTGGATGGGAGAGAGAGAGAGAGCATTGTGCTATATCAGTCAGGCTCCCTGCTTAGTCACATGCTGAATATGGAATCATATCACACTCTGACCTCTTCTCACCCTGCTGCGATCATACTGACCAGAATAACCTCAGGCTATGGACACACACAGAGATCTGGTTATAACTGTTGTTTTACCACCAAATAACCTCTAACTTCCCTGTTTTGGTGCAGATCGTCACTGTCTATCAACTGGTTAGGGATAGCTGTTGTCTGGGGCGACCAGAAGCAGAAACATGGACTATGAAATGTAGCTTTAATCTGTTGAGGTATGGAAGGTCCAGGGGGGTATGGTTGACACTGAACACCTGGTATAGTGAGTTCAGCCTGGTTTACTACTGCTCATTTGCAAGTCGATTCAATGGATTGGCTTTGTTCTGTAAGCAGTTACCATGCAAATGTCCATGTGAGCAGCTCAGCGCTATGGCCAGAGTGGTTTTAGGATGGTTGTAATACTGAAGTGTAGTGTGGAAATGCAGTGTTCTTAGACAGGTAGCCTAAGAGAGCGACTTAATCATTGTAAAGTGTTACCAGGCCAAATAAATACGTTTGTTGCATAAATGTGTAGTACAACGTTCTTCATGAGGTTTCTGTTGCCATATTTTCATTAACCATATCTTCAGTAGAGAAAATAAACCGATGGCTCCGGAATACAATACCATTGATTGTCTTCCTCTGTGGAAATTCCTTGCAACAATGGGTAACTCCCTCTGTCTATACATCAGGATCGTTCCTAGGAACCTCACTCACTCTCCCTAGCCTGGTACCCGGTCTGTTTGTGCTGTCCTGCCAACTCCTATGATCAATGTCAGTCCAAAGACCACAGCAGTTGGCAAGGCGGCACACACATATCTGGGACCAGGCTACAGTACATACTCCATGGCCTTGCCCGGATTCCGGGGTAGAAGACTTCCTGTCCGAGTCCTAATAAGGCAGAAGGGTGAAGTTACCCCTAGATGCTGATCTTGGGTCAGTTTTGCATTTCCCCCACAAATGGTTAAGGTTAGGATTGGGAGAGTGGAATCTGATCCTAGATCTTTACCAAGGGGAAACGTCACCCCGGAGCCCTGATAACAGGAAGTTGTGGGGCATAGAGTTATTCAGAGGAAGTAAACATGGCTACCTCCCAAATGGCACTGTATTCTCTATGTAGCGCACTACTTTTGACCTAGGTCCATAGGGCTCTGGACAAAAGTAGTGCACCATATAGGGGATAGGGTGCCATTTGGGTCACAGGCCATGACTCAGGGTTCTGAGGAAGAGGAAAAGGATGGAACATTCCACACATTCAGGAGTAGTGGGGCACTGGGAATGTGTTAGAGGTCAGCTTGTCCATAGACCATGTCCATGTAGTGATAGGGAACTAGGCTACATTATCATAGGGTCTCACAGAGCAACTTACCCAGTATGGAGTAACACTGATATGCCAGTAGCAAAATAGTGGCCAATTCCAGTCATAGGAGAAAGGTTGACTGGAGTGAACAGCAAACTGATTTTGTTTAGTCATAGTGTAGTCTCTTTCATCAGCCGCTGTGAAAGCTATGAGTCTGGCACGTGAGACCAGTCATAGTGTAGTCTCTTTCATCAGCCACTGTGAAAGCTATGAGTCTGGCACATGAGACCAGTCATAGTGTAGTCTCTTTCATCAGCCGCTGTGAAAGCTATGAGTCTGGCACATGAGACCAGTCATAGTGCACAGTTGTGTGACATGTTGAGTATAGCCATGGATGCTGACATCTGTTAGCTCCTAATAACAGGCTAGGATTTCACATGGAATGAGTGACCAGGTGTGTGTAGTGTGTGTGTTTATTCAAGGTGGGACACACACTTGCACACACACACCTACACTAACAGAGCCAATTGTGTGAGTCAAGATAGTTGACGTGGCATAGGAAAACACTAACTGTGAATATTTGTTGCATGCCAGGGTTGACTTATCGGGGTAAGAACACACACTAATACTATACAAACATCACAGTGTAACTTAAGTACAAATGTCTGTCACTGCCTTAAAATGAAAGCTGAAACTGTAAAAGAGTTAGCTTTGCCATGTATGGTTGTATAACGATAATATACGTTGCTTCAGAAAGTATTCATATCCCTTGATTTATTCCACATTTTGTTGTGTTACAGCCTGAATTTAAAATGAATTTAAAAATAAATGTCTCACCCATCTACACACAATACCCCATAATGACAAAGTGAAAACCATGTTTTTAGAAATGGTAGCAAATTTGAATGAAAATGTAATACAGAAATATCTCATATACATAAGTATTCATACCCCTGAGTCAATACATGTTAGAATCACCTTTGCCAGCGAATACAGCTGTGAGTCTTTCTGGGTAAGTCTCTAAGATCATTGCACACCTGATTGTACAATATTTGCACATTATTCTTTTAAAAATTCTTCAAGCTCTGTGAAGTTGGTTGTTGATCATTGCTAAACACCCATTTTCAATTCTTGCCATAGATTTTGAAGTAGATTTGAGTCAAAACTGTAACTAGACCACTCCGGAACATTCAATGTCGTCTTGGTAAGCAACTCTAGTGTATATTTGACCTTGTGTTTTAGGATATTGTCCTGCTGAAAGGTGAATTTCTCTCCCAGTGTCTGTTGGAAAGCAGACTGAACCAAGTTTTCCTCTAGGATTTTGCCTGCGCTTAGCTCTATTCTGTTTATTTTCATACAAAAAATCTCCCTAGTCCTTGCCGATGGCAAGCATGCCAATAACATGATGCGGCAACCACCATGCTTGAAAATATGAATAGTGGTACTCAGTGATGGGTTGTGTTGGATTTTCCCCAAACATAACGCTTTGCATTCAGGACATAAAGTTAATTTCTTTGCCACTTCTTTGCCTCTTTTTTGCAGTTTTCATTTAGTGCCTTATTGTAAACAGGATGCATGTTTTGGAATATGTTTTATTCTATACAGGCATCCTTCTTTTCACTCTGTCATTTACAGTGCATTCAGCAAGTATTCAGACCCCTTCCTCTTTTCCACATTTTGTTACGTTACAGCCTTATTCTAAAATTGATTAAATTCGTTTTTTTCCCCATATCAATCTACACACAATACCCCATAATGACAAAGTGAAAATAGGCACACACCTGTCTATATAAGGTCTCACAGTTGTCAGAGCAAAAACCGAGCCATGAGGTCGAAGGAATTGTCCTAAGAGCTTCGAGACAGGATTGTGTCGAGGCACCGATCTGGGGAAGGGTACCAAAACATTTCTGCAGCATTATAGGTCCCCAAGAACTCAGTGGCCTCCATCATTCTTGAAGGGATGAAGTTTGGTCCCGTGTAGCTCAGTTGGTAGAGCATGGCGCTTGCAACGCCAGGGTTGTGGGTTCGATTCCCAAGGGGGGCCAGTATGAAAAATAAATGTATGCACTCAAGTCGCTCTGGAGCGTCTGCTAAATGACAAAAATGTAAAATGTAAAAAAATTTGGAACCACCAAGACTCTTCCTAGAGCTGGCCACCCGGCCAAACTGAGCAATCGGCGGAGAAGGGCCTTGGTCAGGGAGGTAACCAAGAACCTGATGGTCACTCTGACAGAGCTCCAGAGTTCCTCTGTGGAGATGGGAGAACCTTCCAGAAGGACAACCATCTCTGCAGCACTCCACCAATCAGGCCTTTATGGTAAAGTGGCCAGACGGAAGCGACTCCTCAGTAAAAGGCACATGACAGCCCGCTTGGAGTTTGCCAAAAGGCACCTAAAGGACTCAGACCATGAGAAACAAGATTCTCTGGTTTGATGAAACCAAGATTTAATTCTTCGACCTGAATGCCAAGAGTCACGTCTGGAGGAAACCTGGCACCATCCCTACGGTCAAGCATGGTGGTGGCAGCATCATGCTGTGGGGATGTTTTTCAGCGGCAGGGACTAGGAGACTAGTCAGGATCGAGGGAAAGATGAACGGAGCAAAGTACAGAGCGATCCTTGATGAAAACCTGCTCCAGAACCTGCTCAGGACCTCAGACTGGGGCGAAGGTTCACCTTCCAACAGGATAACGACCCTAAGCACACAGCCAAGACAACGCAGGAGTGGCTTCTGGACAAGTCTCTGAATGTCCTTGAGTGGCCCAGCCAGAGCCTGGGCTTGAACCCAATCAAACATCTCTGGAGAGACCTGAAAATAGCTGTGCAGTGACGCTCCCCATCCAACCTGACAGAGCTTGAGAGGATCTGCAGAGACAAATGGGAGAATCTCCCCAAATACAGGTGTGTCAAGCTTGTAGCGTCATACCCAAGAAGACTCGAGGCTGTAATCGCTGCCAAAGGTGCTTCAACAAGTACTGAGTAAAGGGTCTGAATACTTATGTAAATTGATATTTCAATGTTGTATTTTTAATACATTTGCAAAAATGTCTAAAAACCTGTTTTTGCTTTGTCATTAAGGGGTATTGTGTGCAGCTTGATGAGGGAAAAAAAACAATTTTAATCAATTTTAGAATAAGGCTGTAACGTAACAAAATGTGGAAAAAGTCAAGTGGTCTGAATACTTTCCGAAGGCAGTGTATACTGTATATATGATTTGTTGCTTTGAATAGGCAAATGTCGTGCTGTAAAATACTAGTGCCCCACTTCCTCCATTCTGACCTGATTCTGTCCCTCTCCCACCCTCTGCTTCCCCTCTCCTTCCTCTTTCCCCCATCTCCCTGTGTCCCCCTCTCTACCCATCTCTCACCTCTCCCCCTCCTCCCACTCCAGAGGATGGGCGCAGTGTCCTGGTGTCAGTGTAGATGTCTCTCGGTCGGCTCCTACGACGCGCCTCCTCCAAGGCCTCGGACCTCCTGACCTTTAACCCAGGGTCGGCGGGGTCGCGGAACGGCTTGGACGGAGAGATCATCTTCTCCAAGAACAATGTGTGTGTGCACCCTGCCGAGCCCCTGCCGGGCCTGCCCGAACACCACCCAGGTACAGTATATAGCTGTCTAGGAGTCCCCTACATCAGGGTCGTATTCATTAGGGCACACCGTAGCGAAGATCTTTGCGACGGAAAACGGAAAATAGGATTTCTTATCGGACAAGTTCATGCAGTCCCTTCCTGTTTCAGTCCATTTTCTTGCTTTTGGTGCCTAATGCATACGACCCTGGGGTGTATTCAGTGAGCTGAACTATTCTGAACGTCACAGAAATGTAATGAATAGTGCTAACACGATTCCCTATTCTACCTGACAAACAATCATATTTGTTCTACACCATACATTTCTATCTGAATGTTCTGAAACATTACATCCTCCTGAACAGGCCCCAGCTATCACTATAGCATTCACCTGTTCACCTCTTCCTCTGCTGTTCTTCTCTTTCTTTCCCAGTGTGTCATATAGTAGGGTTGAACCATAAGTCCGATTGATTCCAGATATATATAGATGTACCAAATCTGGAGTCAATCTGACTTCTGGTTCATGGGAAGAAGGTTTTGTCCTGAGAACTGATTTGATTCAGGTGTCCTTTTCTCTTATAGTGTGATCTTCTCAGGTGACCTCGGTGTTTTCGTGTGTGTGTGTGTGTGTGTGTGTGTGTGTCCTCTCTTTCCCAACCTGATCTCATCAGGGTGAGTGTGTGTTCTTGTGTGTGTGTTCTTGTTCACATTCCTGTGTTCCTGTGTGTTTGCGGCCATGTTTCTCCCTCTCCCTCATGCCTCCCTTCTCTCCTCAGGGTACCTGTGTGTGCACATGGAGAAGGATGAGAGCCTGGGCACCACTCTAATCCTGACCTGGGTTCCCAACTCTCGCATCCAGAGACAGGACGAGGAGGCCCTGCGCTATATTACCCCCGAGAGCTCACCTGTCCGCAGAAACGCTCGGCGCAGGCCCCGCAGGTAGAGTGGGGAGAGTGGAACGTAATGGAGTTCTGTATGTGGTGATATTGCAATAACTGGTGTTATCGTGAAAACTGCTTGTATCGCGATAACAGGTTTTATTGCAGTAACTGGTTTTATCATGAAAACGTATTGTATCGTGATAACAGGTTTTATTGCAATAATTGGTTTTATTGTGATAACTGCTTGTATCCCGACAACTGAGCCTGAACTTTTGTAATACAGGTAAACACTGTTTAGGGATGGTGGTTAATTTCCATCTGGTCTTATCTAACTGAATTTCATCGAAAAAGTTATATTTTATGGTAACACTGTAATGCTAACCCAACCTGCAGGCCCCACTCCCGACACCCTCCCGCCCAGGAGGAAGATGAGGACCGGGAGGAGGAGGAGAGGATCGGGAACGGAACTGGGAATGGGAGAGGCCTGGGTCTGGAGGCCAGCGTAGAGCCCCCTCCTCCCCAACAGCAGCAGCCCCAGCCTGGGGGGGATGAGGGGGATGAGGGGTCCTGTGAGCTGTCGGCTGACGAGGTGAGCAGGGACAGCACCATGGGCTCCGACTCGGACACCTTCTCCTCACCCTTCTGCCTGTCGCCCGTCAGCGAGGCCCTCTTTGAGAGCAGCGGCTCTGTGTTCCTGGACAACGAGAGCAGGTGAGCTGGGGGAGGGGTTTGTGTGTGTGGATGATACAGACCTGGGTTCAAATTGTAATTTAAATAATTTCTAATACTTTATCTGGGCTTGATTGAGTTTACATGTTCTAATTGAACCAATAGAAAAAGGCAGGTTAATGCAAATACTAGTATTTGAAAGATGTCAGTATTTGAACGCAGGTCTGTTATGTGTGCACACATTTGTTTGTGACTTGTGTTGGACATCGATAGGAATAGGGTGTTTTAGTGAAAAAAATGAGGTATTGTCAGTTGGATTTTGTGTGAATTATCTCTGCGAGGTAGCTATTGATATGCAGGGAAGTAATGGAAACAGGAGATGTCGTTTCCATGGTATTTATAATTTATGTACAGTAGGGAAAAAAGTATTTAGTCAGCCACCAATTGTGCAAGTTCTCCCACTTAAAAAGATGAGAGAGGCCTGTAATTTTCATCATAGGTACACGTCAACTATGACAGACAAAATGAGAATTTTTTTCTCCAGAAAATCACATTGTAGGATTTTTAATGAATTTATTTGCAAATTATGGTGGAAAATAAGTATTTGGTCAATAACAAAAGTTTCTCAATACTTTGTTATATACCCTTTGCTGGCAATGACACAGGTCAAACGTTTTCTGTAAGTCTTCACAAGGTTTTCACACACTGTTGCTGGTATTTTGGCCCATTCCTCCATGCAGATCTCCTCTAGAGCAGTGATGTTTTGGGGCTGTCGCTGGGCAACACTGACTTTCAACTCCCTCCAAAGATTTTCTATGGGGTTGAGATCTGGAGACTGGCTAGGCCACTCCAGGACCTTGAAATGCTTCTTACGAAGCCACTCCTTCGTTGCCCGGGCGGTGTGTTTGGGATCATTGTCATGCTGAAAGACCCAGCCACGTTTCATCTTCAATGCCCTTGCTGATGGAAGGAGGTTTTCACTCAAAATCTCACGATACATGGCCCCATTCATTCTTTCCTTTACACGGATCAGTCGTCCTGGTCTCTTTGCAGAAAAACAGCCCCAAAGCATGATGTTTCCACCCCCATGCTTCACAGTAGGTATGGTGTTCTTTGGATGCAACTCAGCATTCTTTGTCCTCCAAACACGACAAGTTGAGTTTTTACCAAAAAGTTCTATTTTGGTTTCATCTGACCATATGACATTCTCCCAATCCTCTTTTGGATCATCCAAATGCACTCTAGCAAACTTCAGACGGGCCTGGACATGTACTGGCTTAAGCAGGGGGACACATCTGGCACTGCAGGATTTGAGTCCCTGGTGGCGTAGTGTGTTACTGATGGTAGGCTTTGTTACTTTGGTCCCAGCTCTCTGCAGGTCATTCACTAGGTCCCCCCGTGTGGTTCTGGGATTTTTGCTCACCGTTCTTGTGATCATTTTGACCCCACGGGGTGAGATCTTGCGTGGAGCCCCAGATCGAGGGAGATTATCAGTGGTCTTGTATGTCTTCCATTTCCTAATAATTGCTCCCACAGTTGATTTCTTCAAACCAAGCTGCTTGCCTATTGCAGATTCAGTCTTCCCAGCCTGGTGCAGGTCTACAATTTTGTTTCTGGTGTCCTTTGACAGCTCTTTGGTCTTTGCCATAGTGGAGTTTGGAGTGTGACTGTTTGAGGTTGTGGACAGGTGTCTTTTATACTGATAACAAGTTCAAACAGGTGCCATTAATACAGGTAATGAGTGGAGGACAGAGGAGCCTCTTAAATAAGAAGTTACAGGTCTGTGAGAGCCAGAAATCTTGTTGTTTGTAGGTGACCAAATACTTATTTTCCACCATAATTTGCAAATAAATTCATAAAAAATCCTACAATGTGATTTTCTGGATATTTTTTTCTCAATTTGTCTGTCATAGTTGACGTGTACCTATGATGAAAATTACAGGCCTCTCTCATCTTTTTAAGTGGGAGAACTTGCACAATTGGTGGATGACTAAATACTTTTTTCCCCCACTGTATGTATTGAATCCAGTCTCTCTCAGTTCAGACGCTGAATATTGGTGTCTTATCTCGCAATGGAGACCTATTGAAATGGTTTAAGCATAAGCACATAACAGAAATGCTTTTCCAATTATTTGGGTAGAGCAGCATCCAACTTGTTAAATAAATATTTGAAACTGACTGCCTGAATGCAAACAAGAACCTGCAACTCATTTGCGTAAATGTCCAATGCTTATTTTAAGTAACTGCCAATTTGATCGTTTTCCCACCACTTTATAAAAGGGTTTAGAAAAAAAAAAAAGAGCAAGAGCGAGAGAGAGCAGCAACAGTTTTCTGTGTTTAAAGGGTATAAACTTGAATAATGTTGAACCCCCACTCCAGATGCCAGTTTCTCACCTCACAACAAGAGAATGGATGTTTCTCACCAGATCAAGGTAGTTGTAATAGGCTAAACCTACCACATGGTGGAGCCACAGAGAAGAGGATAAGATTACTTTTACTGTCAGTGGGGGAGGTTCAGACTTTACACCGCATTTAAAAAAATATAACAAATATTTACTCTTTATTTAACTAGGTAAGTCAGTTAAGAACAAATTCTTATTTACAATGACGGCCTGCCAAGGCTGGATGTGTGCACTCTGTAGGGAGAGAAAGGGCTGTGAAAGCAGATAATGACAAGGTTATGGTAATATCCAGTACATGTATGTTCTTATTGTCAACATGGGCCAAAGCACACACATTGTCCTTCACTAAATGCAATCCAATTAAAGCAGCTTAGTTAGCAGTTAGCACGCATATTCATTATGTGGTCCATGCGGGAATTGTACCGACAGCCTTGGTGTTGCCAACACTCTGCTCCAACCAACTAAACCATCTGGACTAAACCACTATCATGTTGCTGTACTGACTTTATGGCCATTCTCCTTTATAAATCCCTCAGAGGTCATTTCCACACAGAGGTATTTGGCCAGAAACACAGCCCAGGATCAGTGAGTTTGAAGTGTGTGCGTGTGTGTGTCCATTTAGTGTGTGACTTGGCAGCTTTCTCTTGCACTGCCTCTAACCTTTTCTTCATCCCCTCTCCCTCCCCCTTTCTCTCTCACTCTCTTTCGATTGCTCTCTCTCTCTCTCCCTCTCTCTTTATCTCTTTCTCCTTCGCTAATGTTTCTCTTTAAGCTAATCTCTTCATTTCTTGCTCCCTGTACTTCCTTCCCCCCTCCCTTCCTCCCTCCCTGGGTCTGTGTGAAACTCTCTTTGATTCCTCCCTGCTCCTGGGGTTGTTGTGCTGGGCTGAGTGTCAGCTGGGTGGATTAGAGGAGTGGTCTGGTCCGGGCCTGCAGGCAGCAGCCAACGCCTCTGGAACACCACAGCTCTCAGCTTTAATTGACACTGTTAAGGGGCCTGGGACTGGAAACATGTCACTAGGAATCATGCAGAGAGAAATAATCTATGTGTAAGAAAGAGAGAGAAAGAGCGAGAGTACAGTATGTTGGTGTGTGAGAGAGACTGTGTATTGTAGCTAGTGTGTGTGTGTGAGTGCATGCGCGCATACGTGTTCACAATGCTATTAGTGTTTCACCCCTTTGAAACTCTGCTCTAAATGGTTAAGCCATTAGTTGCTCCAGTACAATATTCTAAACCACTGAATGTAGTGCGTCTGTAGGACAAAATTGCTATTATTTTTCTTAATCTTTAAAACTTTTAAATTCATAATGTATCTCAAAGGCCTCTTGCTGCCCTTTACAATGGTTAGAATCCAAAACATAGGTAATTCAATTATAATGAATTTCCATGCAAATGTACAATAATACATTATATTGTATCGTATTAAAACATAAAACCTAGTTTTAGCTCTCCTCCTCTCCCTACCCTACCAAGGGTTTTGATTAGATGTTTTTATACTGAACAAAAATATTAACGCAACATGTAAAGTGTTGGTTTCATGAGCTGAAATAAAATATCCCAGAAATTTTCCATACGCACAAAAACCTTATTTCTCCCAACTTTTGTGCACAAATTTGTTTACGTCCCTGTTAGTGAGCATTTCTCCTTTGCCAAGATAATCCACCCACCTGACAGGTGTAGCATATCAAGAAGCTGATTAAACAGCGTGATTATTACACAGGTGCACCTTGTGCTGGGGACAATAAAAGGCCACTCTAAAATGTGCAGTTTTGTCACACAACAAAACGCCACAGATGTCTCAAGTTTTGAGGGAGCGTGCAATTGGCATGCTGACTGCAGGAATGTCCACCAGAGCTGTTGCTAGAGAATTTAATGTTCATTTATACCATAAGCCGCCTCCAACATCGTTTTAGAGAATTTGGCAGTACGTCCAACCGGCCTCACAACAGCAGACCACGTGTAACCATGCCAGCCCAGGACCTCCACATCCGGCTTCTTCACCTGTGGGATTGCCTGAGACCAGCCACCGGACAGCTGATGAAACCAAATACACTGCTCAAAAAAATAAAGGGAACACTTAAACAACACATCCTAGATCTGAATGAATGAAATAATCTTATTAAATACTTTTTTCTTTACATAGTTGAATGTGCTGACAACAAAATCACACAAAAATTATCAATGGAAATCAAATTTATCAACCCATGGAGGTCTGGATTTGGAGTCACCCTCAAAATTAAAGTGGAAAACCACACTACAGGCTGATCCAACTTTGATGTAATGTCCTTAAAACAAGTCAAAATGAGGCTCAGTAGTGTGCGTGGCCTCCACGTGCCTGTATGACCTCCCTACAACGCCTGGGCATGCTCCTGATGAGGTGGCGGATGGTCTCCTGAGGGATCTCCTCCCAGGCCTGGACTAAAGCATCCGCCAACTCCTGGACAGTCTGTGGTGCAACGTGGCGTTGGTGGATGGAGCGAGACATGATGTCCCAGATGTGCTCAATTGGATTCAGGTCTGGGGAATGGGCGGGCCAGTCCATAGCATCAATGCCTTCCTCTTGCAGGAACTGCTGACACACTCCAGCCACATGAGGTCTAGCATTGTCTTGCATTAGGAGGAACCCAGGGCCAACCG